GTAGAAGCCCGCGCTGCGCCCGCGCTTGCCGACGCCCGCGCCGGCGGGCACCAGCTGCGTCTTGCCGACCTGCGCCGTGAGGTCGATGACATTGCGTCGCGCCGTCGTGTACGTCTCGTCGCCGGTCAGGGGCTTGTGGTATTTCTTGCCCGCGAGCTTCGCCTCGTACCGCGCCTTGGCTTCTTCCTTCTCCCGCGCCTCGCGCTCCTTGGCCTTGGCTGCGTACTCGTCCAGGTCCCACGTCTTGCGGAAGTCGGTGTCGCCCGCGGGCGCGCCGTACGCGCTGCCCTTTTTTGAGTCGGCCATGGCGATGCGAGGTTGTGGCGTGGTCGCTGATGGCAGTGGTGATGCTCGGGCGAACGTGAAGACGGGAAAAGTTGGCGGCGACTGCCTGTGGCATGGTGCTTCCGTTAGCGCAATGACGTCCCACCGAGCCGCCGCCGAGCGGCTTTGCTCCACCAGGCGCTATCAAATGCCCCGCCGCGGGGCATCGCCGAATATCGAGCCGACCCTCAATTTTTTGATCTGACAAGCCGGGACGCATATCGCCCAACGACCAAGATGCTGTACCTGGTCGGCCTTGGCCTCTCCGACGAGACGGACATTACCGTCAAGGGCCTCGAGGTCGTCAAGAAGGCCTCGAGGGTGTACCTGGAGGCGTACACCAGCATTCTGCTCGTGGACCAGTCTGTCCTGGTAAGAGACGTCGCCGGCGCATCCAAGGAAATGTCACTGACCCATTGCAGGAGAACTATTATGGACGGTCGATAACAATTGCCGACCGCGAAATGGTCGAGTCGAACAGCGACGAGATACTGCGCAACGCCGAGAACGATGATGTTGCCTTTTGCGTCGTTGGTGATCCCTTTGGGTAAGCCTGCCTGGTGCAGAGCCGAAAGCGATTGCGACTGACGAAGATGCAGAGCTACGACCCATACCGATCTAGTAATCCGAGCGAGAGAACTGGAGATTCCTGTCCGGACTGTGCCCAATGCCTCGATCATGTCTGGCATCGGCGCCTGCGGCCTGCAGCTGTACAACTTTGGCCAAACTGTGTCCATGGTCTTCTTCACCGACACCTGGAAGCCCTCGTCTTTCTACGACCGCATCAAGGAGAACAGAAGCATTGGTCTGCACACCCTGGTGCTCGTCGATATCAAAGTGAAGGAACAAAGCCTGGAAAACATGGCCAGAGGCCGGCTCATCTACGAGCCCCCGCGCTACATGACCGTCGGGCAGTGCGCGCAGCAGATGATAGAGATCGAGGACGAGAGAAAGGAGGGCGTGTACACGCGCGATAGCCTGGCAATCGGCGCCGCCCGTGTCGGTGGAAAGACAGAGAAGTTTGTCGCGGGCACGCTGGAGGAGCTCTGTAACACAGACGAGGAGCTGGGGCCGCCTCTGCACAGCTTGGTATTGCTGGGGAGACGAGCGCACGAGTTGGAGCACGACTATGTCCGCGAATTTGCGGTCGACAAGGAGAAGTGGGATAGAATATGGAAAGAAGACTATGGCAAGCAATGATACACTTCGCAATAGAATTATTCGTCATCAGCCTGACGTTCAGAGTACCGCGCCCCTGGCCACCGCCTCCTACTTTTGCAGCTCATGCCACCAGCTATTTAGTGGCTAGACCGCCACTGCTTGACCTCGTCCTGCGAGATCTCTCTCAGGCTATTCACATGCGCGGGCTTGCCCGTCATGGCTCCCTGCACTACTTCAACTGCCCGGCTGATGATGTTCTTGGCCACAAGCGAATACGTCGTCGAGAGCATCTTGACGCGGATAACGCCAATGCGCGGATCGTTCTCCGAACCATCATGCTTTCCGTCGCCAAGGTCCCCGAGCCACGCCTTGAGCGCCGGGTTGTAATGCTTCTTGACGAGATCTCTGTCCGTCACGACCGTGGCCTCGCCAGAGACCGACGCCCACTCGCCCGACACGTTGAGGAAGGAGATGTTGACGTGCGGGTCGCTCGACAGGTCGTCTGTCTTGCCGGACTCGGTGTTTGTGTGGAACAGGAGATCGATGCCACCAGACTCCTGTGTAGGCACCGTTAGACATGGTATCCTCAGCCGCTGAAATTGGAGTATGCCTTACAGTAGCGGCCAGAGCCATGCATCGCGAGACTAGGTTCTTCGTTGAGGCCTCGCGCGTGGTCATCATGCCAAACTTGCAAGACGTCATGAACTGAACCAGGTCGTTGACCTTGGTCTCGAGACTGGGGTCATCTTCGTTGGCCTTCTTGTACGGGTCGGCGGGCTTGTCGCCAACGTTTGCGTTGGAAAAGGACATGATGCTGGTATTATTTTCTTTGATACTTGAGTGTAGCAAAGGTGATGGATGTAGAATTTGGAGCTTCTGGCGTTCTATTATATGTACGTATGTGTGCTCGATTACCTCATGTGCGCTACATCGCGGCCGTCACGTTGGCCGTGCGGATCGCAGATGTACATGATCGGAGATTCATCATGACGTCAACCACGTTGAGACACTCACTGTTGAGCGCGCTACCACGCACGGGAAGCGCCAGCGTTGCCTCAACGCGCCCGTTGTAGCAGCAGCAGCTTTTCCTTCCGCAATCCGGGGGGTTTGAGGAGGTTGAGGAACTTGGCTGTTCATCTAGCATGCTGCAGTCATTGCCCGTAGGGGACCCCCGCAGCCAGAAACGAAGTTCGCGGCGGCGGAGCTCAGGAGGCAGGAGGTCCATGCAGCACCGCAACGCGCCGGCCAGCATTGATGGCAAAATTGCAGGGACGGGACCCAAGCGAGATGGCCAGTGGTTCGACAAATCCCAGCCGTCGCAGGTGGGCTGCACTGCACGCACGTTCGTAGTACGAGTAAATTTTGCCATGTCGGCCTGTGCATTTGCGGCGTCAGTGCATCCATCTCCTCCCCACGGCCCAAGCCGTCGAAGACCGTGCCGAGACTCAAACGGAGAGAGGCACAGCCCGCCGCTGGAGTCGGCCCCTCGATCCACAGGCGATTCCGCGATTCCGCGATTCGCCAGCGCCCGACTAATGGCAGGCGAAGCTCTGGGAGCCCGCAATCCTCCTCCCCGTCGGCTCTGTGCTCGTTTGTTAGCAGTGCATCTGTAAGTGGCCGAGGAGGACGGGTGAAGCTTTCGAGGAGGCAGGCACGGTCGCGTCACATGACGTCGTGTCGACCCATCTGAGCGCCATTGCCTGCAGTCGAGGAAGGCGCAATAGCCGTCTCCTTCCCCGCGCCGGCGCCTGGTCATAGCCTGGCAAGCTGGCCACCGCGAGCCGGGCGCCAGCGCCAGCCCGACACAGAAGGAGCAACCGCGACCACTGCCCATTGCCCGCCCACGGCTCCACGGCCCTTGGCCCACGCCCGCCCACACCTGCACCTGCCTCTCGACGAGCCTTGACGCCTCGTCTATGGCTTGGACTCCCAACATCCTCGTGAGCCCGCAATCAATCCCTTTCTCTTCCATCTCATCCACCCCCCAGGCATCAGTCGACCTCTCTCCTCACAATCAAACCGCGTGTCCTCGTCTCCCCCCGGCATCCGCCATCAAGCCACTGCCACAGCGGCCACGGATGCAGACGCCTTCTCTTCTTCCCCCAACTTAGATCCCGTCCGGCTGCCGCCCTGCACCACTTCCGCCAGCACCTGGACCCTTCCCTGCGGGACCGAGCTCGTTCCCCATCACCCGTCGAGTCACTGGTCCCACGGCACCGACCGATACCAAGCCATGTACGACTGCTGCCACATCTGAATTCATGTGCCACAGGCAAGTCCCTTTGAGCGACTTTTGACTACTACTGCCTTGTTCCCGTGCGCCAGAGCGGGCTTTCTTTTCCAATTTGAACAACCATCCTTCTCAGCACAGCCAGCGCGAGGACTTTCTTCGCCGTGGAGGCTATTTGAGACAGTTCCCTCCCGGCCCGGCAAGGCGATTTAACTCGGCGCATTCGGCCGCTTCCGAACCCTCCGTCACCTTGGGGATCCAGCAGCTCATCTGTCCCGCTGTCACGGACTGTCTGTCTGTTATCAAACACCACCTTGTGCGTTCGTCGAGCCTGCTGCCAGCGGCCGCCACCAGAGACTGCCAAACACTTGAGCATCGCCTGGCCTAGCGGAATGGCTTCATCTGCACCAGTGGTACATTAACCTCCGGGTTCAGGCTCGACGTACCCCCTGCTAACCAGTGTATGCAGACAGTCTTCCCTTGGGAGTGCCGGGATAAGGAGGACCAGGCCAAGGCCTCTTATGAATTTCCTCTCCGGCGTGCCAACCAGGAGTTGAGCGAGGAGAATCTGCGACTCAAACGCATCCTGCGAGAGAATGGCATCTCCTGGTCCCCAGTTGCGCAAGCCCATCTCAAGCAGCGAGACCCTAACAAGCGCCGGACTCGATCGTCCAAGACCCATGATCTCGGCCGTCCACACCTGCCCACGGAGATCATCCTGCGCATCCTCAAATTCGCTCTCACGAGCGCGCAGTCCATCATCGATCCCCTCAGCCCCGCCACGTCCGATCACCTGACTGAGCGCGAGAAGACCAGAGGCAATCAGATTGCCATTCATTTTCTGGCCACCTGTCGAGCACTTCACGTCGAGGGCACTCGATACCTGTGGGAATGTAATGAATTCACGTTCACGACCCCTGAGGCCCTCCGTCACTTTGCGGAACTGAGCCCCAGCTTTCGCCACAAAATTACCAGCATTCGCCTTCGCATCGTGGCCCGTTACTATGATGACCAACGTCGCAAACACAAATTGGAGCGGTACTACCATGCCGACCTGAAGCGAGATCAGAACCTCAAGGTCCAGATGAGGCCCAAGGAGACGCCTCTTGTGCGTGGTGGATTCCGGTGCTATACTTGGACCCAGATCGTGGACTTCCTCGCCGCTCTTCGGGCCCCCTATGACCCAACTTACCGCGACAAGAAAAACCCTCGCCCCAGACTGCTCCCTGCGTTGGCGACTTTGCGGATGGACCTCGTCAACTTCTCGGACACGCTGCTTCCCTTTTCCGGCTCCGAGCTGCATGACATTGCGAGCCATGAGCTCGGATGTACGCTCAACGAGCTGCAGATCACCGGAATGCCTTTTGACGACGCCGGCATGAAGGCGTCTGCCGAACTCAGTGGCATGCTCAAGGACGAAGGACTCTACCTCGACGGACCGGCCTCGTTCATTGCCCACTCCAAGCACTTGCAGCCCTTGTCGGGTCAGAGGTGGTGTGCACGAGTCATCCGGGCGTGGAAAGGAAACCCTGTGGGTTCCGACTACGACGATGAAGACGAGGTCGACGACCATCTTGCGCACTTCAATGGCAACCACCAGAGACTGGGCGCCCTCCCCCCCGCACCTGCGGAACAGGGTCACCCAACCTCCACCCGGGACGAGGACACAGTCATCTGGAAGAAGGTGCCCACGTCTCGCGATGGACACAAGCGCATCTGGATCCAGTTCTCGCGATTTAGTGGATACGAGATTAACGACCTAGATGCCGATAGTGAGGACGAAGGGGTCTGCCCCTGCTGTGGGGAGTCGCACCCAGGCTCGTCCTTTCTCGAGTACATGATGGCGGATGATGTGGACTGACTGCAGTATCAGCACGACCCTTGAGTGCGCTGATGCTTCTGGAGTGCTCTAATGTCGGCGAGGTGCAATGGGAAAACGGAGTTCGGTTTGGGCCTTCGGGCGAGATGGACAGCATTGCTGCATGACTAGATACCCTTTAGCTAGCGGGAGACGTTCTTGCCTGCGTGAGTTTAATGAAATGAGCTCAATTTTGGTCCAAAAGTTTTTCAAGATTCTCGCTGGATTTTTGGTGTTGGCACCATTTTCCTCGGGCGGACAGCCGCTGTCGTGACGCCCGCATGCAAAGTGCTTCCCATTGCGGATGGGCGGGTCTGCTGGCGCCTGGCATAATTGTTAGTGCAGGGGTTGGAATGCCACGGTTCCCCAGATTGGTAAGCCTCGCCCAGCATCAGTCAACCTCGCATCATCCGCCGCCATCGTCGACGTGCAACCCACCGCTGTGTCTTCGATGGACACGGACCACGACAACGGGACGCGGTAGACTCGAGAGGAGCCGCCTTCCTATCAACAACAACAATCATCAACCGCCGCCCAGCATGAAGCTTCTCGACATGCGCTTGCCCGCCCTCGTGGCGCTGGCCACGCTCGCGTCGGTGGCCTTGAGCGAACACACGAGCAACTGGGCCGTGCTGGTGTGCACGTCGCGGTTCTGGTTCAACTACCGCCACCTCGCCAACGTGCTGTCCATGTACCGGACCGTGAAGAGACTGGGCATCCCAGACTCGCAGATCATACTGATGCTACCGGACGACATGGCGTGCAACCCGCGCAACGCGTTCCCCGGAACGGTGTACAGCAATTCGGATCGTGCAGTGGACCTGTACGGCGACAACATCGAAGTCGACTATCGCGGGTACGAGGTGACGGTGGAGAACTTCATCCGGCTGCTGACGGACCGCGTGGGCGCCGAGATGCCGCGCAGCAAGCGGCTGTTGACGGACGACCGGAGCAATATCCTGGTGTACATGACGGGCCACGGGGGCAACGAGTTCCTCAAGTTCCAGGACGCCGAGGAGATTGGCGCGTACGATCTCGCCGACGCGTTTGAGCAGATGTGGGAGAAGAAGAGGTTCGCTTGCAATGCCTGCCCTGAGCGCTGCACCACTTAGACATGCTAACCTTGGCCAGATACCACGAGATTCTCTTCATGATCGACACCTGCCAGGCAAACACCATGTACAGCAGGCTGTACTCACCAAACATCATTGCGACCGGCTCCTCCGAGCTGGACCAGTCCTCGTACTCGCACCACGCCGACAACGACGTCGGTGTCGCCGTCATCGACCGCTATACCTACTACAACCTCGAATTCCTGGAGAGCCAAGTCCAGGACCTGAACAGCCCCAAGACGGTCGGCGACCTGTTCGACAGCTACGACTACGAAAAGATTCACTCCAACGCGGGTGTGCGATACGATCTGTTCCCCGGCGGGGCGGACGCGGCCCGCAGTAGGCTCATCACCGACTTCTTTGGCAATATCCAGAACGTCGAGGTGGACCGCGCCAAGGACTCGGCGCTGGAGGAGCAGCTTCTGGAGCTAAGCAAGACGATATCCTTGTTGAGAGAGCGGGAGGCTGAGGAGGTTGGGCCGCAGAAGAACGTGACTTCTGTGCCCGCGAGCGTACCGACGGAACCCGTCAAACGGGTCCAGGGCGCGACGGCACTGACGGACGATAACTGGTGGACCAAGAAGGTTGTAGGGGCGTCGGCACTGGCTGGATGTGCCCTGCTTTGGGGACTTGGATCGTTTTTGGAATGATGACGTCTGTACGAAGTTCAATTACCCAACACGGGGGCTTCGTTCATGGAAACACGTGTTTGTGCACATCACCAGCTCTTCGCGACTGAGACTACGACCTGTCCGACAAGTCTCAAATACGTCGGACATCAGGTCGACACGGTGGTGGGAAGTTGGCACAAGAAGCGCCATTATGCCATAGATGGCCATGTGGTGTTTAGGATCAGTTCGGCATACAAGCGTAAGGCAATGATTTTTCTGTTTTGCTGGGTTAAGTACCAGCATGTAATCCACGACACGGGCGCTTTAATGAAGATTCGCAGAACATATAAAAATGCGTTCAGGCATATTTACTTCCAACAATCATCAATGTGAATGTGATAATGACGGAGCCCATTTGACCTGGCGGTGTCATTCCAGCGTGCGGACCGATTAGTCAGCGGTCAACTTCACTTCAATTCGGGTCAAAGTGACTGAAGTCAACGACCTTGCAACTCCAACTGTCGCATAGGGAGTCGCAGCAATATTGATCGGCTAGGGGATATCTGCATGGGACGCGTGATGGAAGGTCCATGAGGCCCGTACAAGCGCTCCCTGGCAGCCATAACGACGCGGCATGATGGACCGCGCAAAGGTACGTGAGGGCTTCAGGCATCACAGGAGCATGTTTATCAAGATGCTCTGGAGGATCGTGCCGATCTCCAGCTACTTGCATCAATTTACGTGCGCTGACTAAATAATCCAGCTTCGTCCGCTGGAGAGTCTGTATTTCAGATTCCGGCCCCTCACGCCACACGCCCTGTCGTGGTCTTGTGACGCGGAGCTGGCCGTCGCCCTCGACGACTCTATCCACGTCTTCCTCCCAGACTTCCCCACGAGTGTCGGCCGCGACGATGCCGGCACCGGAAAGGGCAGCGATGTGGCCCACCCGCAGTTCTCCATGGCACTGCACGCCGCGGGCCTCATTCAGCCCGACCCGTCCATCAACTCCAAGCTCTGCGCCTCGGCGGGCGTCAAGACCCTGGGCGCGCGCGTCAGCGAGGACTTCAAGCTCCATGGCGTGGGAGGCGGGCCGGTGACGGGCGCGGGCGCGGCGGTGGGCCAAGTCGTGCGCGTGGAATGGTCGCCTGGTGGGCTGGGCCATAGTCTGCGCCCGGTCCTCGCGGCCCTGACGACGAGCGGCAGCGTGGTGGTGCTGGGGGAGCACATCGACACGAGCTCGACCATCAACGCCAGCGCCACGGCGCGCACGTTTCGCAACTGGAAGATTCTGTGGGGGATCGGCGCCAGGATGCCCGTCCCTGATGCTCGCGGCGGCGGCGGCGGCAGGGACGGCGTCCGAGACATGAAGGAGAGGATCGTGTCGTTTTCGTGGGCGAAGGAGGTGGCGTCGGGGCGGGCGCTGCTGGCCTATGTCAACCACCACAGAGAAGTCGTCATTATGAGCGTGCAGCTCTGTCCCGGTACGCAGGGACCTGGTGCCTCCGGTGAAGAGTATGCGTGGAGGCTCGCGGAGCTGGCTCGATTTGACGGCAGCGGTCCTCACAGGGGCACGGAGACAAGCGAAGCCGACTTTGTACCCAGCGGGAGCGCATTTGGCCTGAGATGGAGCCCGTGGTATGTGAAGTCAGGTTCTCGGACAGCAACCCTGGCGTACATTGCGCGAGATCACGTCGGCTTCCGCAGGGTTACGATTCAGGGCGACTGGGAGGCTGGACACGACCCGGTGCTTGAGGTCGAGGCAGCGGACACGACGGGGATATGCATGCCGCTCTCTACAGATGCCCTCGTCGAGTGGGAAGATGCTGTAAGTTCCCTGGACGTCACGATACGTTTCACTAGATGCTAATGGCGTGAAGATTTGGCCAGACGGCGAGAAGCGAATGGCGCGAGGCATCATCGCCACGCCATTCGTGCCGAAGCCGTTCCAGGTGGACCTCTGCGGCAGCGTGAGCCGCATCGCGCGTCACTCTGTAGAAGAATGCTCGAGTCTGTACGCCAGCGAAGACGAGGCATCGACCAACCCCATCACCGGTACGTCTCGACCTCCCTTTCCCCTTTGCGAACCGAACCACGCTCAATGCTAACGAGACGACCACAGGTCTCGTCGTCCACCGGCCCAACCCGGCCGAGAAGCCGCCCGCACCGCGATACTCCATCGTGAGGCTCTCCGCCACCGCCACCAACCAGGACTGGTACCAGACCAACGTGCCCGAGGGCGAGATGCCGCTGCCGCAGTGGGCGGAGCGGGTCCGGCGGCTCACGCTGCGGACGGGCTCGCGCGTCGCCGTCATGCAGGGCGACTACTCGGACCCGGAGTCCGACGAGGACGAAGAAGTGGCGGACGGTGATGATGACTACGGCGACGACGGAGAGCCGCTCTCCAGGGTGCACCCGCACCGGTTCCGCTTCTGGGGCCTCGCCGCGTCGCCCGGGGACGGCACCACGGCGGCGCTCGTGACGAGGCATAACACGCTGCATGCGCACCGCCGGGCGAGGTCTAGCGTCTTCTTCGGCTGGCATGACGACGCGAGCGGTGACGCTGCTCCGAGTGAAGCACGGGCGGGGACAGGGGCAGTACGTGGTGTGGCACCCGAGGGCCTGACGACGGAGGGCCGCCTCTGGGAGGCCGTGTACGGCGGCAAGGGCGACGTCGAGAGCATCCTGCCCTCCTCCTCAGACGGCGACGACGGCACGGCAGCCCCGTCCGCGCCGCTGAGCACCGCGCCGCTGCACGACCTCTTCCGGGACGTGGCCCCGCGGCAGAAATGCGTATTTTGCGATACGAAGCTGACCGCGCTGGGCAAGGAGGCCCGGTGCGAAAGCGGGCACACGTTTGGTAAGTTCTCCCCACATTCCTCCCTCTCCCTCTCTCTTTCTCTCTCTCTCTCCGGCGTCGTTGCCCTATAGAAAGGTTATTCTAACGCAGGCCTTTTCGCAGCGACATGCGCCGCCACGGGCCTCGCCATCATGGCACCCGGGGTATCGCGCCAGTGCGCCGTGTGCGGGCTGCGGTGCCTCAAGGTATCTGAGCTGGCGGCCATTGCGAGGGAGTATCTGGGCCCGGATACGGCCGTGGACTCAACGGGGGACCTGTGTGGTGGCTGTGGCGGCAAGTTTGTGTCTTAGGAGAATATGCCTGTGCTGGCGGTACGAAGCTTCTGCCTCTTCTCGAGAAGCGCAGCAGGTTCTATGATTCAAAGGATGACGACGAAGGTTGTCGCTAGAAACAAGTTCGACACTACGACTGAGCTCTCGCGACGGCTACTTAGGCGCCGCCGGTGGCAATGCAGGGCATTGCCACTACGCCTCTCCCTCACCATACACCCACAATGACCCGTCACTCCCCGCCCCTCCACGGACTCACCTACGACCCCGTTTCGAACCTCGAGATCCCCATCGCCTTGGGCCTTGCCGCAGGTCAAACGTCCGTCCCGCTTTGCTGGATTCTTCTGTGCCCGGGCTGGTATTGTTTCGTCCGCCTCTGTGCTTCCGATAGCCGAGGAGAAGAGGGAGGGGGCCGAGCTTTGTCCCAGGCAGCCGGCTGCGGAGGGGGGGTTTATGTTCCGACAAATTCGATCTCGTCGTATGGAGTGGATTCCTAGCGGTTGCGTGTCTTGACTCTTCCCCTCGTCATTCATGAACATTACAGTGCCGCTCCCAGCCGGCGTGACACAAAAGCGAGCGGCCATTCAAACGCCTGAGCAATCACTTGGCGACGCACAAAGCACAGACTCGTTGCAGCAACGTCTTCATCATTCCTATCTGGCGCGGCGTATCATCCCCTCTACCTCCCCTCCCCATCTACTACATCGCCGCCCGCCACCAACCCCAATCCAGCACTGCTTTCGGCAGGCTGGAACTGAACACACCCCAATGCTCTTCTCCGGTAACGTGACGCAGGTCGGAAAAGAGCAAATAGACATTCGGGAATTACGAGTATGGCGTTCCGGCATTCCAGCTTGCATCGTCGTGATGGGGATCAAGTGTCCTGTCCTGTCCTTCCGTCCATACTTCGTAGCGTCGGTCAAATAGGTGCCGTGGACCAAGAAAGCCAGCCGACGACCGTATGTGAAAAGGATATATATCAACAGGGAAATTGCACCGGCTCCAGAAGACCTCAGTTCGAGGCCTCCAAAAGGTCGGTTCCAAAAATGGGTAGTGAAAGAGCGTCGAGAAGGTTGAAATGCTCAAAATGCGTCCCATCGATCGTCTAGGATCATAAGCACAAAATTGCGTCGTGCGGTATCCATGCCGCACCACGTCTCCAAACGCCGTTTCTTTTTGCTGCAGGCGACACCGACCTGGGAGTGCCAAAGTCGGTCGCTTCAAGCCAGACGCTCAAGAGGGTAGCCCGCTCAGTAAGCCTGACCGGGGACCGGCTTCCGGCCAACTGGTCCCGTGGGAGGACCAGAGGGGGACCCCTGAGGCGTGGATTCCTGAGGCGAAGGAGGAGAGGACTGGGGGTTCATCGGGCTCGGCCCGGGCGGGCTCATGCGGCGGGTTGAGCCACTGGGGCTTTGTGGCCGGCCAGGGGGGCCTTGCCTGGGTCCTGGGGACTGTGCTCGCGGGCCCGGGCTCATCGAACGTCCCATGCCCATGGGCGACTGGGGTCGACCGCCATAGCCAGCCGGCGAGGCCGGGCGAGGGCCGGGCGGCCCCATGCGCGGGCGAGACGGAGATTCGGGGCGGCCGGGTCGGCCACCGTGCGGGATACCCTGCGGAGTCATTGGACGCTGTCCGTTGCTGACACTCGGTCCTCGGGGCCGGCCGTTGGGGGCCACCGGAGGTCCGGGTCGCCCGGCTCCTGGAGGAGGGCGGGGCTTGACTGGGCGGGTGGACAGGCAGGTTCGAGGCACAACACCCTGCTGCGAGCGATCCAGGCGAATGACAAGGGCCTGTTGGAGTTAGCACGTTGGTCTCTACAGAATCGCGTACACGGAGTCTTACCCAGCCATCGTCGTACTCGTGGAGCAGACGGACCAGTTCACCAGCCTTGAGACCCATCTCGTCCTCCAGTGTAGGCTGGAAATCAAGCTGCACCCGGTGGACGGCGGAATTCTGGGGCCCACCCGCCGCTGCGATGGCGGCCGCGCCGTTAGAGGCCGGAGCTGCGGTGCCGGGCGGCATGGAAGATACGCTAAATTCGGTTCCAGCAGGGCTCGGAGGCATTGGGCCAGGGGGAGGGGGCAGCGTCAGATCGACATTCTTCGGGCCACCATGGCGCATGGACGTCTTGCGAGCCAGGCCGGTAGCTGCACCCGCGGCGGCAGCAGTTCCGGCAACGGCGGCTGCGGCGATAACGGGTCCATTTGCGGTCAGTGGGTCTTCAGGCCTCGGCGGCGAACCGGACACGGGGGTGACGGGCCCAGAGACCGGAGACGGGCCGGAGCGGTCGTAGTTTCTCTCTTCCCTGATGGGACTCGGAACTCGCTCGGCCTGGTTGCCGAATGGGTTGGCCGGGTTGGTGCTCTGGCTCGTGCCCGGACGCTCCCAAGCGCTGCCACCAACAGCTCGCGCCGACGCACCACCAGCAGCACCAGCGGCACCAGCACCGAGCATCATGCCGGCCCCCTTGCTGGAGCGCTTGTTGTCGAGACCGTTCCAGTTGGGGAGGAATTGAGTGACGGGACGCAGGCTGATCCGCGGTGCCTTGGGGTCAGCTCGAGACTCGGAGGCGGGCTCGAAGGGGCTCGCGCTAGGAGCAACAGCGGCGTGGAACTTCTCATCATCGTCGATCTGCTCGCGCTCGGCGGCGGCCTTGCGGCGGCGGTTGACCAAGAAGAAGACGAGCAGACCGACCAAAAGGAGGCCACCGAGAACACCAAAGGCGATGCCAGCCTTGGCCCCGGCGCTCGGACCTTGGTCGCCGCCCTTGTCAGAAGTTGACGAGTCGGCGGTAGAGCTCGACGAAGGGACACCAAGAGTCGACGACAGTTCGCTGTCGCCGAGGGTCGTGCTGCGCGACATCGAGGGGTCCGCGGTGGCCTTGGCAATGACGGAATCGACCGAAGTCAGCGTGTTAGATTCACGAATCACCGTGGGCATGGACGATTTCTCGGTGCGCTCCTTGGTCGTCGTCGGCTGCTTCTTCTCCTCAGCGGAAGTTGTCTTGGGCTCCGGCTTTGACGTTGGGGTAGAGGCCGGCGGCGGCGGCCTCTGCGTAGGCGTATCCTTGGCTTGACCAACGGTGGAATAGCCGGCGACGGGACCACTGAAGGTTTGTGCCATGGTCTTGTAGACGGTGCGAACAGCCGTGGCATCATCCCCTATTACCTAGTCAGCCGGAAATCATCAACAGGCCCGCGCCAACCCCGGCGCATCTTGGATCAAAGCAGCGCTGGGGATTGCCCGACGGGGCCTTGTACCTTGGTTCTTCTTGGCCTTACCATTGTTGTCGCCGCCATTGTCCTTGAAGGGGTTCATCTTGTCCATCCAGCGGTCGAAGTCGTCTCCGAAGTCGCGCCTGTCGTGCAGATGGCGATGTTGTTGGTGCGGCATCTTGGCCGGGAGGCGGAATTAAAAGTCAAGTACGATTTCGTCAAAAGCAGCGGGCGGCTCCAATTCGCGGGCGATCAGCCGCTCAGGGGTTTGAGGGGACTGGCGCGGGAAGCGGCTGGAATGCCAAGGGTATCCCGAGTCGAGGGAGAAACGAATGTATGGGCGCGCTATCGTGCGATGCGCGTGTTTATTGTCGGGAGCGAGCGAGTGTTGTCTCAGACCCGCAGGCGGAGTTGAGTGATTGTTTGCTGGGCCTGTCAAAGGAGGGTGGAAAAGCGAGCCGGACCTGATGCCGAGCGGGAAAGGGCAGCGGTTGCGCGGAACGACGGTCGATGGCGAGTCTTGAAGCTCTGCTCTGAGGCTCTGGTCCGAGAGGCTTTTGCTCTGGTAGGGAACGGCGGGCGGGAGGAATGAACGGAACGAGCGGACCGGCGCACACGCAGATGGAGTTGGGCGGCTCGGAGCGCTGCTGGTGTTTTACGCACTCACACGTCGATGGCGCTGGCGCACGCACCCGCAGTTTCACGCTGGACGAGCGTTGCGTGAGGTGGCAGCGGAAGTGGACGGACGGACGGTGATGGTGGAGAAGGAGGAGAGGGAGAGGGAGGAGGAGGATTCGATTTAGAAGGAGGAGGAGTGGCACCTCGGGCTTGGAAGGTTTGCTGGGTCGGTCGTCCGTCTGGGCAGGGGCACGGGCACCGCTGGGCTGGGACCGCCTTGGCGCCGACGGAGGGACGCGAACCTGGAAGGGTGTGTTGGTGTTGATTACAGGCGAGATCGTGCGGTTTGCGGGCTGTCAGCCAGCGGGGGGGCCACCGGGCACAGGGCATCCGGTGGTAATTCTGCCCTGGAACGGCGCAATCTGACGAGCGAGCGAGTGACCAGGGCCGCAGGGACCGGCAGAATGTGCGCTGCCGTCTGATTGACGACGGTGCCGCCCGGCCCTGGCCCTGGCCTGCCCTGGGCGTTCACTCGCTCGCTCGTTGCTGGGGATCGAGTGACGGAGGTTGTCGAGCAGCCCAGGGGAGCAGGGAGCAGGGGGGCCGTCGAACAGGGCTGCGGTGGACGATCCCGCACTGTTAGTGGCTTGGTGCCTCCGCCGCCCTAACGGCCCTCGTGTTTGTTGAAATGGAGGTGCCCGGTGCATCCCCCCAGTGAGTCAGTGGCTTATTGTCTCCAGAGGCGCCCCCCCATTGTGACAATGCGCCGCCGTTGAGCACACGCGAGTTGTGCATTCCATTCCATTGGTGAATGGGCCCATTGTGCAAATGTCCCGAACGTACGACGGGCTCGTATTGCAGACCCGTCTGCGGTACGAGGTGCAGGGCTGTTGATCACCTTACGTGCTCGATATCATGCCTTTGCGGTGCTGCATTCGGACGTTTGTTTTTTGTGTTTCAACGTTTTGCCGGCTCTCGACAGCTCCTCGGCCTCGTTGCCGGTTTCATGCAGCATCTCGACGACGGCACGCGCATATCGGCCTGCGCTCCCGAGTCCCGAGTGCCTGTGCGGGTGCAGCCGGCTATCCCCTGCCCTGTGCTGACATGCCGTGCATAGCCCAGCGTTCGACATCGCATGCACATCTCCGAGCGGGCGTCACGGCGTCTGGCCGCTGTGCGACAGGCCACTGAGATGCATGCTCCTGCACAACGTCGACCTCATCACTCCACCATCACGCGCCGCGACTCGTCAGCATCTAAAGCGGCGAGACCCTCCCCAGCAACACACAGCACACTCGCACACTGTCACTCACAGCCCGGAAGGTGCCAGGAACAGCTTGGGCCGGGAAGCATCAGGGGTGTGTGTGCCTTACAGGGGACTCGCAGGGGCCTTGCAAGGGGCCCCTCTGCACGGCCCCCACCAGCGTCCAGGAACCCTCTCGGCCTGATTGGTCCCCAATCAGGAAACGAGATTGCTAGCCAGGCACGCGCATGACTTGCAGCCAATCCAGGCGGGGCCGTGCGCTCCACTCCTCGACCCCCTCATCACGGGCGCAAACGAGGACGGGGCGTGGGTCCCATTGCTGCCGTTCTTGTCGCCAGCGCCACGCAGCAGGCGCCAGGGACCCGCGCCCGCCATTAGCAACAGCATCAGCATCGTCATCGCCCTGGGCCTCGCGCCCTCACCCTCGTCCTCGCCCTCGCCTCGCCCATCAGCCGCGCGATCCGCGTTGAGCGCAGCTTCTCGAGGGGTCATCCCTTCACAATATCTGAATTCAATGGCTTCGATATAAACCCACCAGCTGGGCCGGTTCCTCCTCCCGTCGACAAAGGCCCTCGGCTCCCCGGCCTGCAGAAGACGGGTTGGCCCGGAACTCGAGGTGCAGCATCAAAGGTCTTCGACTTGCCTGAATGGTCATCGCCCGCATCTTTGGCGTGAATGCGAGCACCCTGGCCGAGGCTTCCGCTCCTCCCACGTTGCCGCCGCCATGTTGTCGCCGCCAAGCGTCAACGGTTGCTCGCCACAGTTCCCACTCCGCCGCACTTCTGTCTGCACCCTGGGCACGCCGCATGTCAACGTGCATCACGATGGCTCTCAGCTCTGGCTGGGATCCGGTCCTGAAAAGCCCCAAGTAATATTCCTCCCATCTTTTCTGACCGACTTTCTCTCGCAGCATTGACCGACAGACCACGGGCAATTTGCGCGACGTTCCTTTGCCAATCCGCCCTGCCTTACCGCTGTCTCTGCGCAATATGAGTCGATCTATCCCTTGCGCATTGGGGGGCCATTTCGCTCGTCCTCGGCGTCACCGGCACGAGACTTGTGTCCGTGTGTGTGTGTGTGTCTGTCGTCCCGCAGCTCCGTTCCATCCCTCTTCCTTGGGCCTTCCAAACCGAACCCCCAAAAAGAAAGGTCGCTTGGGCAAAAAGGCTGCGAACCCGCCGCGCGCCCGTCGTGTGAGCTAGGCAGGCATTTGAAACACGCCCGATAAACTTGGCGCCGCACTGCTGGGGACGATTATTCCCGCCTTCAGCTAGTGCCCTTCAATCTCCGATATGAGACTTTTTTTTAGCAGTCGCGTCTCTTGCGCTGGCCGCTCACCGCGCTACTGCTGGCTGGTGTTCTTTGGCCAGATTTCTGGCAGTTGAGAGAGTGACGCCACGGCGTCGCTTCTTTCCCCTTCGTCAGGCGCTGTGTGGGACGGCCTTGTATTCAGGGCTGCTTGATGCTACGTAATCTGTCCTTGATGCGTCTTGGATGCTTGGCTGATGGACAGTCCCACAGGTGCCAGCTGGCCATTTTGTCGGTGCCATCCGAGTCCTGTTTCACTTTGTTTCCAGCTCACCTGTCAGACCCCCACGGTAGCGTTGCCTCTGTCGCTGTTCGAGCGCGCGTGCCCATGGAACCAGGCACTACGGTTCCGTGCGCGGGCACGATAAGGTTTCCGTCTGGCGTTTCAGCACACCAGCCGCACCGGCTCCTGAACCGGCCATTCGCATGTTATTGAACTCTGTTGCTTGGCCTCCCGCGACGACGACGCATCTAAGCAATTGCGCGAATACTACATTCTAGCAGGAACGGGTCCTGTCGCGACCGTGCGTGCATTGTACATATCGACGCGATCGCCCGGAGCGGACGCTGCGCAAGTGCCGCACGGATCGGTCGACTTGTTGGGGATGGCGTCCAGCTGAGTGAGGGGATTGCGCCCGCACTACGACAGCAGGACGGCCAGCTACCAGGGTGTAAATGCAGCAAATATTGAGTAGAGGCGTCTTGCCCTAGCCCAGCTCGGTAGTCGTTTACCGATGTCCTATAGCTGCTGAAGTCTCGCAAGGTCTGCACGGCCGCTTCGAGGCCAGGAGGCCAGATTTCGGCAGTGTAGGGTGGTGACTCTCGATTTCGGCCGGGTCGGCCGGGTGGGGTCCCCGGTCTCCGGTCACCGGCCCCGTGCTTGACCCGGCCCACATACCGCCCCGGAACGAGCTCCCGAGGGTGACGATCCGCGAACTCGAGAACGTCCTGCATCACGATAGAAGCACCGGCGCTTGGGCCCATAGGTTTTGTATGTCTTGGAATCATTCATCGTCCCATATTGTCCCCGTCCGGCTCTATAGCTCGTCTATACGCAGATCGCTATGTGCATCGGAAAAAATTGCCGATGAGATGACTCGTCCCCTCCTTCTCCAAATCACCCAATCTCGCGCTCATAGCGAGAGAAGCAAAAGACAACACACTTTCATCGCTCTGCCGCCGCCGCCGCCGCCCCCGGGGTATCGTGTAGTACAGTACCGCCCTCGCGTCTCCCAGCAAAAGCCTACATAGAATCTTCCATCTGCCGACTCCTCGTCTTGGACCAGTTGTCGCGGTCCTGCTTGCCGCCCTTGCTCTCCAGGCCCATGCCTCGCTCGACCCACTCCTTGCTCTCCATGTGGGAAAGACGGCTCAGCGCGCGCGCAAACGCAAAGGCTTCCTCCTGGCCGGCGAAGAGGCCCGAGTCCTTGATCTTGTCCGCGCCTCCCTGCTCGAGGTCCTCCATGACCGCGTCCATGGTCTTCTCCACGACATCCGCGTCGCCGTCCTTGGCGGCCGCCTTGCCCTTGCTGGCTCGCATCTTCCTCTCCCCGTCGAGGAGCGCCTCGGCAATCTCGTCGCGCGAGACGAAGAGCTCGGTGATGGGCTTCTCCGTCGTGAGCACGAGCTTGGCGTTGCCCTCGTAGACGGCGTCGATGAAGGTGATGAACCGGCGCGCGAGGTCGCGCTCGCGGATCGTCATGCCCGGCACGTCGGTCACAATGAAGGCGTCGTAGCAGCGCACCAGCTCGAGGTAATCGGCCGCCGATTTCGGCTTGCCGATGAGCTCGTCGAACGTGAACCAGGCGCAGCGCCCGCTGACGCGCGGGACGTAGATGTCCCGGCCCCAGACCTTTTGCGTCTCCGGGTGCGGCGCAAAGTTCTCCGAGTCGCCGAGGAAGCGGAACCACTTCTCGGCGTGCGAGGCGGCGTGCTGGTCGAGCGGCGTGTGGTAGACGCCTGACGGAGGGCGCGGGATCTTGCGGTAGTCGGTTGGCGAGTCGAGGTTGATGACGTGCAGTCGGTTCTTGAGCAGCTTAATGGCGGGGATGAAGGACTCGCGCTGGATGCCATTCTTGTAGAGGTCGTCAGGGAGACGATTCGACGTTGTTACCAGAACAACGCCATGGGACATGAGAGCCTCGAGCAATCTATGCCGTAAAGTCAGCGGAGGTGAAGCGTCAAAGTTTTTGGCAGAGCGCCATCGCTTCGTACCTTCGAAGAATCATGGCGTCTGCCACGTCGGTGCACTGGAACTCGTCAAAGCAGAGCACGTTGCCCTGCTCAGCAAAGTCGGCGGCGACATAGGGCACGGCGTCGATGTCGCTGCCATGCTCCATCTTGAGTCGGTGCAGCCGTTTGTGAACGAGCTGCATGAAGTTGTGAAAGTGGATGCGCGTCTTCGTCTTAACCGACGGTGGCAGGGTGTCGTAGAAGAGGTCCATGAGCATCGTCTTGCCGCTGCCTACGTCGCCGTAGAGATAGAGACCCCGCGGAAGGTTTTTGGGAATCGCGCCGATGGCTTGCGCGCCGGCGCCGGCACCTCCGCCTTTGCCGAATATGGAGGCGAAGACGGACTTCTTGGCGGGCTTGAGCACGTCAAGGCTTGGGTGGACGACAGCAGGAGCGTGGTATTCGCGCAACTCGTCGTGGAGATGCTGTAAACTCTCAATTATACCTTGAGGCAGGGGCACGCCCAGTCAGCCATGCGCCAAGCGGTCTGCAAAGCGAAGCGCGAACTCACCTCTTTGGTGCTCGTCGTTGCGCAGGATCCCTTCGTTTACCCGCTGATCGTACTCCTCGAGTGGGCCCCAACTTGAAGATCTATCGTTTGACACGCTCTCGAAGAACCGCGGTGTGCCTGGTCGAAACAAACCCGGTCGCGAGGGGGCCCCTCGAAGCGACCCTGGCCGTTTCCCCCCCTCTGCATGCGCGCGTGCGACGCGGGCGAGACTGCCGTGCGATTGCCGCCGTGCGACCACACGTATCGAGCTAAAGGACCTCAGAGGCACCGCATCCTGCGGCAGGGCGATCATGGCCGTGGCCTGGAGGCGGCGCAGAGGGACATGACGCGCCGTGCCGCCCCGCATGGCGATGAAAGGGCGCGCACGAGAACTGACGAAGGTGATGGTCGCGCAGAAAGAACAAGGACTGACTGCGCGTGCGCGCAAGAGAAAGAGAGTCCCCAATATGCCGAAAATGCCCTGCAGACCAGGTGGGAGAGCGAGGAAGAAGCCGAACCCGGATGTCAAAAGTGAAACGACGTCACGGGGATGCGGAATGGCGCCCACGTGGAGTTGCCGAGCCTGCGGGCAAGGGCGGAGCCCGGGGGCTAGAAGAAGCTCCGTGTCGGCCCGTGGTTTAAGCGATGGGCGACCTCGGCCATTCGGTGGCCCGAACCAATATCTCCATCAGTGAATCGATCTTTGATTATTATTATTATTTTTAGAGACGCCGAAAGCTCCTGCTCGCCCAATGCTCTAATTAGTCGTACAGGGAAGTGTAGGTTCTCCTCACGGTCCTGACTCCCGACCCGCAGCGTTGGAGTGACCGTCCGCCGCAGCCGCCACACACGGCTAGCTAGACCCTAGCCTCCCGCTCCTCAAAGCCCAGCCCAGGTCGCCATTCATTGCAACAACTTCATAGTCAAAGGGAGAGGCGAATAATCATGCCATCCAAACTGCCATGCTCAGAGCCCCAAGAAGACACGTGATGGGCACTTGGACAACACCGGCCATCCCGCGGGCAGGGTTACCGTTCTTGGGCGAGTTCCCCCCGGCGTTGCAGCCCGTGTTGCCCGTGTTGTCCGTGTTGCTGTTGCTATCAACCATGTCCCCGCCGTACGCGTTGTTGCCGGGCGTAATAGAGCCAGCCAGGGTCACGGCTTTGCTCCTGTACTTTTCCAGGGTCTTGTCGTTATTGGGGTTGATGATGCCAACCATGCCCCTGATGCACTCGTCGCCCTGTGACGAGTAGAAAGGCGTGGGGTCCGTGTTAGTCACAGTGACGCGAAATGTCTGGTTCTGTTTGAGCGCATTAGATTCGCAGTTCACCCAGTAACAATGCGTAATTTGGTGCTCACCGACTCGCCGCTCTGGACAGGCACGAAGCCGGAGAAGAACCCGGTGCCGAGGCGCAGAGGCGAGCATGGGTTCTCGTACGCGCCCGAGACCACGCTGTGGTTTCGGGACTGAAAGTGGAACTCGAGAGTGTCACCTTGCTTGGCGTGGACGGTGGCGGGATCGAACGTGGTTCTGCTTGTTGCTGTGATCTTGATGGTATCGGCGTAGGACAGGCAGGCCAGGGCCGCCGCCATGAGGCAGGTCTTCAGAGAAGGCATAGTAGCGTTTGCGGAGAGATATTTACGCGGAGGAAGAATTATGTGCACAGAGGAAGTCCTGTCGGTTGATGCTTGCGTTGCGCTGCGAACAAATCCTTCTATTGCCCGGGCTCACGTCGCTTTTAACATCACTCAGGATGGTCGCGCACCCACGAGAAGGGATGAATGCCAACGGAGAGGTGAAACACAGGCTCAAGCTCGCACCACACCTTCATGGTGATTCCAGCAACACCATAACGAGGGATCGAAGTTATAGGATCCCTTGAAATGAGCTTGTAAACCCATCACACAGTTGAGGTTGTTCCCAAAGGGCGCTCTACCTTAGAGACTGCAGTCGCTCGATTGGCTAGGACAACCATTCTCTTGATCAGGGTTGACATTGCACGCTGTAAATGTCGTAGGGGTCAAAACGAGGGCGAACCGATGTCTCAGGAGCGCCAACATGAAGGGCTACCCTACGACAAGTGCATGTCGCGAGCCCGACTTTGGCGGCGCAGCCATCGAGACGTCGCATTTGCAAGCTACAGCGCACCTGCCCTGTCGACAGGAAATGGCGTGTTCAAGCTTGTCCAGAGCGCGGCATCCGCGCAGCCTGAACGCGGAATGGTGGCGCCGTCGAACCGTGCACTTGGGCCGCCCAGAATGACGTCGCCTCAAGCTATTCCAGGCGGCGGAGACAGGGCAAACATGGCAGGTAAGCAGCCCAACGGCTTCCCGATTGGGTGGAGAACATCCTTGGACCATCCGCAGGAGAGAAGGCGCAACTGTCTGCCAAGGAAGGACCTGTGGACAGCTGCAGGAACGACAGGCAGGTGCGTCTGCGCACCTGCGCACCTGCAGAGCTTAACTGGTGGAACAACAGCTACTGGCTCAAGGGAGCCTGCCCTGGACTCGTAATTTACGCGGCAGGATGATGCCTCGCTAGCGGCGGCTAGCGAGCGAACAAGGGATCAAGCGATGCTGAGGTGCCCGTCCCACGAATGTCACTTGCTGCGGGGGAGAGGGACCCCTTGGTGCGCAAGACATCGCGATTCGCGACGACTTGTAAGATTGCTCGTCGACTGGTGAACTCAATATCGGCCGCCTTTGACCCCTTCACACCCCACTCGAGAAGCAAACCGCGAGAAAGGCCTCGCCGGTCGACCGCTGGGACGGTATACTTCGTACCACTACGTACTTTGACTGCGCGAACCCGCGGGACGCCACGTTTTGACCCTGAACGAGGGTGGGGCATGCCAATATCTCCTCAGTTTGGCGCCGCGAGATGCATCTGCGTTGTCAAATGGGGGAATACCATGACATGTCCCCCACGCGGACGGGGGCAGGATACCCATCAGGCAAGTTGATCGAATGTCGGAGATATGCCACAGTTCAGATGTCGCTGAGCACGACCGGGAAGCGTGGGCTCGAGGCGCCTGGTCGTCCGGTTCGGGCGCAGCCGATATCCCAAATTTGCTGGTAAGTCAGCTCTCGACCGTCAAGTTATGTCGCGAATCACGTAGGCCAGACCCCGGAATCTCTCCCCGAGCTGAGATCTTCGGGCTGTACGCCAAGATTGCAAAGATAAGGATTGTGTACTGGTTTTCAAAGTGCCTTGGCCGAGCCTCGGACTCGGGACAATACGACACGGGGCCAGCCTACCAAATGCTGAGGTCGCACCGCCAAAGGTGCCTGGTCGTATTGAGGCTCTACTGGCCACAGAGCCCAGCTGAAGGCCATGGCAACCAGTGGACGCCTGCGGTTGTCAGCAAGTCGGTGTTAAAGAGAGGCTCTGCGCGGAATGTTGCCCGCTGCAGATATGGTATCACAGAACGCAGACGGGCAGCGTCCGAGCCTAAGATGTCATCCCTCGCAAGGATCTCGACGCGAGAGGCAAACCTGGATTGGCATCCCGTGCCGGCAACGCCGTCCGGTGTGGGCGGATGCGCGGCCCTTCAGCAGCCATAAGCGACGCGGACGTGTGCGGTTGGACAGGTCGGACTGGCGGTCAGCCCAGGGGACGCAGACCTGCGCAGATGCAGATGCAGGAGCCGATGCCGATGCCGATGCGCAGATGCAGGCGCAGGCGCAGGCGTGAGCGTGCAGCAAGATTCAGCCGGGTAAGGAATTGGTGGTGGCAGCAGGCAAGCAAAGAAAATGCCATGATTCACGGAACGGGATTCTGGGGCGAATTTCCCTTGCAGTGTTGGGTGTGGCTGCCGGGAATAGAGCCTGTCGTTGGCGACCGCTACCTGCCGGCCAGCGCCTCTGTCGGGCCGCCGGTTACACGGTGACGACAGGGCACTGCAGGTCGCTGCAGGTGCGGTACCAACTGCTGGAGCTCCTGGCTGGAGACTGAGGTGCAGTGGAAGGCACAGTGGAGGGCACCTACCTTCTACCTGCCGAAGCCGGGCCCGGCGGCGCCAAGGCTGTCCGGCCGCTGGGCCAGAGTCGCGTAGCCCGGGAGGCGGGCGCGGGTGGCCAGTAGGTGGCCGCTGCCAGTTGAGCCACACACCCCCCGACCTTCCTGCCCGCCCAGTCCGGGTTGTAGGGGTCCCTCTTGACTCGGCCACTGCCACATTTTCGCTTGACAGGCTCCTCACCTGGGTCGAGTGTGGCGAGCCATCCAGAGAGCCTTTCGCCGGCACTCCCCCCAATTCAGCTCTCGTGACAGCATCCTCGCCTTGCCAACCTGCATCGTCGCCGCCGCCGCCGCCGTTCGCCGCAGCCTATGTCTGGCCGAGAAAAACTTTGCGACAGAGTCTTCACAGCTGCTGTCGCCAAGCCAACATACGGATCTTGCTGGTGTTTGGCCACGCAGCCATGCCCCGCGCTGCTGGGGACACGGCCGACGTGCGACGAGAGGCAACGCATCGGGTGCGCCAAAAGCACCTGATGGGAATCAGGACAACGGCCGAGGGTGGTTTGTTGGTCGCCGCGCCGCCGTCGGCCGTCTCGACCGCGACGCGTCCGAGTCTGCAGCGCTCTACGCAGTACGGGGCCGCACGGCACGCGCACAGGACACAGCACAGAACAGCGCAGCACATCAGTGGGCAAGAAGGGGACCGAACGCAACGGAAATGCCTCTTGGGAGGCAGCGCGCCGGCTCGAACGACACAATGAGGGCCTCCCCGCAGGCCTGGTGCTGCGCGTCCCCCAATTCATTTACCAAAATGTCACTCCGTCGTCGGTACTGGCGCGCCGCCAGGACGGCCCTCCACAAAGCCTGCTGGTTCCCGTCCTCCTGGAAATTCCCCGACATTTGGACCAGCCATGGGAGTGGAGATAGGGAACGCCATCGCTGGGCCGGGCGTGCGTGGAGCACCCGCTCGCGCAATCCTCGCGCTGTCTGTCAGCTGCTAGCTCCCCTGCCAAGGTGCTGGCACCTGGGAATCGTGATGCTCGCGGACGCTGGCCGTGTCGACTTGCCATGCGGGCGGGCCGGCCTGTGCAAGTTGGATGCGTAGCGCAGCGACGAGGAAGCGCTCGTTGGCCGTCGACAGCGCCGTCCGTCCCCGCCGCGCAGCCCGTCTGGGTCGCACAGGCATTGCGAATACGGCTCGTCTTGCCACGCGAGCGAGCTTGATCCATCCAGGTCTGCGCTTTGTTTCTTTCTTTGCTGGGCTTTCAAGCCCCAGGTGCCAGGTCCTTCCCACGTTGCCCCCACACCCTGAGCTTGACGCTGGTCCAGGACGCTTGACGGCCTGCCCCCCTGCTACGCACACGCCCCTGCGCCTCTCTATCCCCCCATTCCTCAAACCTTCGTTGCGCCCCGTCTGCTGACTGCCAACGCGCATGGCCCCTTCTTCACGTCTCGTCCCGTAGCTGCGAGCTGTCGCGGCTCAAGAAGCTGAAAGCTCGCACGTGTGCCAAAAAGCAACAAGGAGGCCGGCACGAAAGCCTCGTCGAACCTTGACACGGCACTGCCTGGACTCGTAGACGGCGACGAGGCTGCCGGCGGCGGGCCCCGGAGCACCTTGGCGGCTGCATGGACAATGGACGCCAGAGCGAGCGCGTCGAGACTCGGCCCATGCATCCCACGTCGAGCTGCCCGGCCTATGGAGCGCCAGAGGCACACCCGGGCCACCGGTTCGACAACTCTGTGACGTTTGCCCGCCCATTAGCCTTCGCAAGGCCGTCTGCACGGCCAAGGGTGGTACTACTACCAAGCCATACATCTACTTGGCGGATCAGGGCACTGGGCGACGGCAGACAGTTGAGGCAGCGGGAGCGCGAGTCACTCGGGCCTGCGTGGTGAGAGAGAGCAAGATGCTCAGCCCACCACCTCCGCGGCGGCGGCAATGTCGTCCCGTCCGTGGCGTCTGCTCCTCACTTCACCCCCCCAGTCGCCGCTGGCTCGCTCGTCCGTCCGGCTCCCAGGCCAGACTGTCCGTACCGTACCCGGGCAGCAGCGGCAGCAAGCACCGAGCACGCACGCACACACGCCGAAGAAGGCTGGGCTGCTGGCTCAGCTTGTTGCACCGACGGGACGGGGCCCTGGCCCTCCCTCGACCTCCCTACTAGCGTCGTCTGGTATAACGTCTCCAGCCCAGCGAAAGCCTCCCCGCTTATTGCCTTTTAGTCGTCAGGCTCGACGACGGTTCCCCATCGCCCTCCTCGGCAGCCTAGTCTCGTCCAGTCCAGCCTGTGGTCCCCGGCGCGTGTGGTCCCGGGGCGTGCTCTGATCTTGTCGGACACGGCCCTTGAATCAGGGCCTGTCGGATGCTTTAAACTTGAGTCGCCCGTTGGGCAACGGCGGATCGGGGCAGACACTTTAAACTCTGCACGACTCAAATCCCATTCTTCTCGATCTGCAACCCCATTCGACCGCTGGCCCCGGTCCCTTTCTCTTCTCGGGCAACTCCCATACATAGACGTCCTCGCCCACACCCTCTGGGCCTTGAAGATCATGCCGACCAAGCTGCAGCTCCTTTATAGATCTCGACAACGTGCCTGGCACTAGACCAGGACCCCCCTTTGCCCTGGTCTTCCCTTCTTTGCCCTTTCACTTTGCCCATCTCGACTACCGCCTGCCTCTGCGCATAGCTTCCTCTGAGCTAGGTATACTGCCTCGCCGTTGGTTGACCTAGGCCCGCGCCTTATCTCTCCCGACCAAGCACCTGCGCGCGCACTCGCCTACACCAAGGAGGGAGGAAAGACAAAGGAGGAGCTTCACGAGGGCGCGAGAAGGAGAGCTGTTCGCCGCCCAGCGCGGTTGAACAAAACGTTAAGGCTAAATGTCAACCCCCGCAGTAAGTACCTCTCGAACTGCGAGCCCAGCTGGCGCTTATCTCCTCGACCGTCTCGTTCCGAGACCAGGAGTGCAAGGAACTGACCCTTGACCCCCTTTGCTCCCGCGCTGCAGCAAAAGGCCAACCTAGCCCGCATCCGAGACAACCAGAGGAGATCACGCGCGCGAAGGAAAGAATACTTGCAGGAGCTGGAGCAGCGGCTCCGGGCCTGCGAGCTGCAGGGCATCGAGGCCTCGGCCGAGGTCCAGGTGGCCGCCAGAAGGGTCGCGGAAGAGAACAAGCAGCTGAGGGAGCTCCTCAACCGATACGGCTTCAGCGACGAGTACATCGCCAACTACCTTCAGTCCGGCGCAACCGTCACCCCGGATTCCGCGCAGACATCCTTTCGCACGGGCGAGCCAGGATCGACCGTTCAGTCTCTCCAGCAGCTTCTCGTGCCTCGGCGACCCGCCGGCCTGGAGCCGGGCATCGCGTTTCCGCTACCGAGCCAGTCGAGCCGAGAGACATCGAGCGCCAGCGCCTCGACGGCCAGCTCGTCTCTGTGGGACCCCGCGCACACGACCATGGCGGCGTACGGTCACCATCCGCAACCCATGGGCGTCGCGCCTCCCGTCATGGGCACGCCCAACCAAGCGCAGTACACGTCGCCAGCTTTCGGTAACGCGATCCCTGCACGGCACGACCCCTTCGCCGGCCAACAGCACCAGCAACTGCTCGGTGACCCGCGGCAGACCATCGTGACGACACAGCCGACGCAAGCGATGCCCCTGGACAGCCGACCAGCGATGAACTACCACTACTCCATCCCGCCGTACAACGACCCGACGACTCGCAGCTATGGTCCGCCGGGCGGCAGTTGCTGATCTCAGTGATGGGAGAGCTCGCTCTCCAAGGCGACTCGGCGAACCTCGATCAGGGGCCTGGAAAAGCGGAAGAGCTGCAGAGTCATGGCCGTCGTTCGGAGTAATCTCTTCTTCGTCACGAAGCTGGTTCTTGGCAACAGCGGTTCCGCGAAACCTTAAATCAGGCGACTGGGACATGGGCCGAACGACATCAACGAAACCGACGGCCGACGTTGCCTATCCCGTCCGAAACAGCATCTGGGGGCTAGGATGTATGGGACTGCATTAGGACCATCTGCTTCTATGGAGCCAAGGCCACGAACAAGTCGACACGATCAGCTCGGCACCGACGAACGACGACGACCTTGGCGCCGAACACAATCGAAGCGACGAGCGCGTTCCTGTCAGGAGGCCGCGCTAGCCGTTAGGTTCAGTCGGCAGAGAAATTGTACGGCGCTAGCGACTGCGGCGGGCATGAAAGACAGGCAAGGCGACGTCAGCGAGTGGCGGCAGGGACCAGCTGTTTTTCGTATCTTCCTCTTTTTTTAAGGTTGGGCTCTAGCCTGTGGTCGCAAAGCCTGATGCAGCGTTGCGAACTGCACCGGTCGGTCATACAAGAAAGACGGAGTACAATATCACAAATGTCGACGAGAAGAGCAAGCGCACCCCGGAAGCGACGCCCATGATGGCCTGGTCTGGATAGACGGAATGGGAGACGGCACGGCGGTGCGGCGGTCCAGCGCCGAGGCGGCTAGCACCATGAAGTTGCAGCCGTGGCCGGTGCCGTCGGCTCGCAGGCCGAAGAAGGCCCTGCGTCAATGGATGACGCCACTACGACGTGCCATGCCAGGTGCGCGGCACATAATGAAGAGATACATGTGTCATGGTACAGTGCAGTTTTGTATCGAGAGCAAGCCAGAATCGTGAATTTTCATGGGCACAGGCCCCATCAAACCAAGTTTACAAGCCTACATGCCACTGGTGATAGTAGACCAGCCTCAAGCGTGACCGTGCTGGTACGGTGACGGTGCAGACCGCATCGAGGGTTCGAGACCATGTGCCGCTGCCATAGCCAACAGTACTGGGCGGACACCATCTAATCTCGCATCGGGGGGCTTTTCGCCGCTGTCGTGCGATCCGGGGCCGACACGGGCAGTGACATGACACGGGAGATCCCGATCTCAATGACATTCGCTCCCGCGGTCGGCGAACATGAGAATACGGGGGAGGGAGGTCGCCGAGGGGGCACGAGGCTGGCACGCGAGTCGCCTTACACGCCCATCGTACGAGGCTGAGTCAGGGCACAGCAGCAACGGGCAGCGCGCCGCCAGCACAAGTAGTAAGTCGCCTACACATTGGGTTTGCGGGAAGAAGGGATTCGACGGTACTGTACCAACGGGGGATGGGGTCCCACCACGTGGGAGGAAACGTTGCTTGCTCGACGGGTCGGGAAGATGTTAAAAAAAGAAGCCATCATCACAAGAACGGAATTGGGGGGGGGGGCGCGCGCGGCGGAATGGGGCGATGGGGGCGGAAAGGCAGACGACAGCTGAAGATGGGGGGGTGGGCGATTGCCGATGTGCTGTACGTAGTACTGTAGGTAGGTTTTCGGAGACGGCGAGTACGGAGAAAAGTATAGCGGGGAGGAAGGCGTACGTAGAGAGAGGAAGGGAGCGAGGGAGGCAGAGCCAAGAGCGGCGGAGCGGAATGGGGGGAAGGACGGCGCGAGACCCGATGTGGGCTCCGTTGGTAGGGCTGGGCTGGGCTGGGCTGCTTGGCTGGTCCCAGGAATCCGGTGGTGGTGGTGGCGGCGGCGCCGGGCGCCGCGGCGGCCTCGGCGGGCGGTGGAGGAGCAGCAGTAACACGGGGCAGGAAAGCCGCTCCGGGTCTAGAGCTCGTCGCCCGGGGGCGTGTGTGTCTGCGAGCGAGAGCCCCGTTGTGCAAGCAAGCAAGTCGGCATCACATGCTGAATCCCTACTGACGAAATGTACCTCGTAAGACACGGACGAAAGGGGTGCGCGCGGGCGGGCGGGCCAGTCTAAGCAACGATCTCTACCTTGGTAGATCGGACGAACGTGGAGGTCTTTCTTTGGACGACATCCCGGCGGAGGAATTGGGGACGAAAGGCGCGCGCGCCGCGGGACCGTTCATCTGAGCATGGAATGGAACAGCTAAGGAATACAGGCAGCCCACCCCGCATCTGCCCAGTTGCCGAGGCAAGACAGCGGTGACGCAGGCAGCTTTCGTCAGAGGCGCTGGAACGGACCCTGCAGGATGCCTGGCTGTCGTGCATCGGGCCATCGTACCGGAGCCTGAACCACCGTATCGCAGGCGCGCGCGCCCGCACGCCCGCCCACCACCGCCGCCGATGGGCTGCGGCGGCGAGAAAATCACTACATAGGTATGCCAAGAGATGGAAAAATACACCGAAGGACTGAAAAACAGGCGGGCCCAAGTCCTGCGAGACAAGTGCATGAACATGAACAAGACGGAATTCCTTAAGTGGCAGCCAGCCCAGACCAATCGGGTTGACCCCACTGGACGATGATGGACGGCCCAAAAAAAGCGACCTGACGGGACGGGTCTCTTTCAGTGAGGTTGTGTCCGGGTGCGTGAGGTGCGCGCGCTTGCAGGGACATGGGCGGCGGCAGTGGACGTCCGGGCGGTGGACGTGGAGCTCGGTACTGTAGGTGACCTCTGGCGAGGCGCTACCTTACATATGTAGGGGTCCAATGGCAGCGCTGTGTCGGCACCCGGACCGGCTTCCCCCTGCCCTGGCGAAGTGAGGTAGCACCCGGCAGCCGTCCCAGCAGCTGCCGAGACATTTCACACGAGGAACCACCCACCTTCTAGGGATCGCCGCAGCCACAACGACCTCTTCCAGCGGCTGGTATTGCATAACAACGCACCTGGCTATGCGATGTGGCATCCAGTGCAATGACGGTCACGACGACTTCGATGAGCAGGACCACGGCGAGCCCAAGTACCTAGCAACGTAGTCGTGACGCAACTGGCGGTCTCAGACTGACGCAGGCGACGAGACGCCACCCTTCCCTATATCCAACTGCCTGGTCCCTCTGCGCACATCACTGGCAGCCGTCTTCGAGGAACGAGAACACTACAGCAGGCACGCGGACAAAGGGCGGTATACGAAAATAGGCCTGCCATCTTTACTGTCTGATGAGGTACCAATGGATTCCAACGCCGCGCCCGAACCGTAGCCGTGGAATCCCATTTACACTCGCGCAGCGCGCCTCTCTGCCGTCTTCGGCCAGCCTCGCCGCCACAAGTCCGTAGCGGCCACGACTACAGAAAGTAATCGGCCACGGGCTTCTTCGCCGGCATCCCTCTAGAGTCCTGGGGTGCCGCCTGGAACACGCGATACCGCCTCGCCGGACCGCTCTTGGGTGCCACTTCGTCGGGTTCGAGCCCCGTCATGACGCCGCTGCTGCGGCCCACGTCGCCGTTGCTTCGCGAGAACACCCCCCAGCCGGACGAGTCCTCGGACAGCTCCAGCACGGCGGCCACGTTGCCGCATCGGTAGCAGTAGTTGGGCGCCGACCAAACCGTGACGATGGAAGCGTCGAACATCTCCTTGAAGCCTTCCATGACGAGCTGATGGGCGCGCGCAATAAGGCTGAGGTCGTTGCGGTGGTTGAACACCTTAACAATATCAGCTCCAAACAAGAAGCCCGCCCCTCGCGGCGACAGACCCCATCCGTCGATATCGTCGGGGTCTGACCAGAGAAGGTCGCACATAGCACCCTCGTGGGGCACCTCCTGCTTGCGGTCGATGAGGCGGATCTTATCCACCGTGTCGATGAGCGGGCTCAACCCGCCGTGCACGCAGAGCACCGCTCCCGCCGGGTTGCCCACGCTGCCGCTGCTGTCCCCGGACGCGCCCGAGCCAGGCGGGCCCGTCTTGTCCCCGGAGCTATTATCGAGCTGCGGCATCCGTCCCTGGCGGGGGAATCGGCTTATGAGCCCCCCGTTCTGATCGCACACCTCGATTTCCACATTGTCCACGTCCGACGGCGGCGAGAGCGTGTTGGACGCGCCGAGCACAATGGCGCCAAGGGCGAGGTAGTCGAAGACGTCACAGCAATAACGCCACACGTTAGCGCTGCCATATTTTCTAAGGCATTCGTCATAGAATCCGTAGACAGTCGTTATTTGCCGTGACTCATGATTGCCGCGGATGAGTGTCATGCGGTCGGGGTATCGTACTTTAAGGCAAAGAAGCAGGAGGAAGGACTCGAGAGAATAGAAACCGCGATCGACAAAATCGCCTATGCAGCGGTCAGCATCAAAAACCATCGGGGCAAGCGTACCCAGGAGCGAGTGCGACTCACCCATGAAGAGATAGTTGGTGTCGGGCACGTCGCCGCCCACCCGAAACAGTTCCATGAGGTCGTGGAACTGGCCGTGAATGTCGCCGCATATCTGATCCTACGTTAGCACCACGAGCGACAGTCCAGAGATAACCTCGGCGCCAACATACCGTCACCGGTGCCGTCACGGTGACCACGTTGCCCTCTTCGATGAGGAGCTCACGCGCGCGGTGGCACAGTTCCCGCACCTGGGGCTCGGGGATGGGCCGGCATGCGCGCAGTTGCGCGATGGCTCTGCTCTCGGGTTAGCTAACACGGTCGTACAAAGAGGTGCCGGCATCCGACGCACTTGTCGAGATCGCTCATCGTGGACCAGGCGTGACAGCGGTCGCACGTGAGGTGCCGCGGCTGGTTGCAATCTTGTTTGCAAAGCTCTTGGCGATCACAACATGTCGCGAGCTATGCTGTCCAAAAAACTGTCGGGGCTTCGGTACTTGATATTCGTGCGTAGTCGGGAGCCTCGCGGCGGATGGTGAGCGTGACTGTAGATGGAAATGCTGAGAACTCGACGAGGTCGTAACGGGAAGTCGCGATCGCAAAGTGGGAAGTGGAAAGCGAAGCCGCCCAGCCGCCGCCAATTGCCAGCACGCTAGCGCCATGCCCCACCAATAATGTCGATATGCAATGGCGCGGCCGAAGAGCCTACAGGGGTTCGTCGGAAATAGCTTTTGCCGGCTCCGATGGGTAGCTCGGTGCCCCGCGGCCAATGGGCGTTTGCGGAATCATCATGCAGCTGCTCGGCTCATCAGATCGCGTGCAGGCGTCTTTTTTCCCGGCCCGGGAGCAGCATCATCGCGCAGCTCAGTCGAACCACAACCGCCTCACCAGCGCCCGGCGCAGCCATCATCGCAGGGGCGGGAACATGTTTGCAACATTATGTGAGTGCCGCACGGCTCAATTGCCCCGCGAACACGTCGGCTGACTACCCTCTGCGCGAATCCAGAACCCTCTTGATCCCTTGTGCCGAATCTCGAGAGCGACGAGGGATCATGCCGCCACACCTCCACCCCAGGTCGCGAATGACCTCCTCCCTCTTCGCAACGACCGTCGTCGCCAGCTTCTTCGTCGTCGCGCTCCCGCATATCCTGCCCTGCCCCGTGCCCCGGACCAAGTTCGCCGATGGGGAGGTCATAGTGGACGAGAACGGGAGGAGGAGGAGGTGGAGGAGGAGGGATCCCGCGGAAAGCAAGGACGGAATTGTACAGTTCAATCAGACGGGCGACGACGACACATATACCAACGTGGAGCGGACGACGAGAGAGTGCCCCGTGCCGAAGCCGGGAGGCATGCTGGGCGAATGGCTCGGCTTTCACAAGAGCGACGGCGAGACGGGGAAGCGATGACAACAACGGGAGGGACAAAAACACAAGATCTACAACAAATGTATAACCAATGTTCGAACAAACATACTCAAGACCCGCCGGGTCCGAACGATTGCTCTGTGCGCGCTTATGCCGAAGTCTTGTGTCCCGTGATGGAGCGAGCATGATTAAACCACAACGATCATACGAGAGCGACAGACGGAAAACAAGAAAATGGATTACCTACAAGGCGTGCGACCGAGTCAGAAGTGATTTGCCTCGGCAGCGGCTGGTGATGGTCACGACTCCTAGCCCTCATCTTGGCGATTCCATCTGCGACGATGGCTGCCGTCTCGACTCTCACTGGTCAGACGGCCTGACTACGAGACAGTACCGTGACGCCCTCACCTCAGTGCTGCGACTGGCTGACACTATTGCGTGCCCGTCGTGGGCAATGCGGCGTGGTGTTTCACTTTCGCCCGACTTGAGACAGTTCACCTCGTCTAGACCACCACGTCACCCCGCGCGCCCTCTACCGAGCAGGACACGGGACAGAGTCAACGAGCTTAAAAACTACCCTAATCGGTCATGGAAACGCAAGAGCCGCTGTGCCTGTCTGGTTGCGCTGTCAGGTCTTAGCCTACGGCTCTGCGCCATACCGGACGATCTGACGTCGGAGACGCGACAGGGGTAATACCACCCAACCTCAAACTTGGCGACTCCACGAGCTTAATGCGCTCTCACCCCGCGATCCAACTCCGCGACCAATGGCATAACACCACTTGACACGGCATTGCCTTGCCCCTCTCTCTGCTTCCGCGTGTTCATCCTGCCTTGTGCCGGTGGAGCGACAGCGGCGTGAGGGCAATGCCGTGTGCCCTTGACGGCTGTCGGCGGGAGACGTGCGTTGGATACTGGCGGGGTGGCAAACGGGGGGGCGCTGGGGATGCCATCGATCCGGTCTCAAAGACGATTCCTGGTGCGACGGAGCTGGCTCCTCCGTTCGGATGCTCAGATCTGCCACGACGGCATGTCCCGTGGGCATGACATGACTGCGTTGCGCAAGCCAACCCAAGAATAGCATCTCGGGACATTCGAGCTCGGCCTCTGCCTTGGGAGTATAATACGTCGGCGCCTTTCTCCCTTCCAAGTGGGCAGCACCCGCAGTCTTCATCAGTGCCATAACTCAACCTTCCTTCTTTTTCCCTTTCGGCCCCGTTCCAGTCCTTCCAAGAGCTGCGCTCTGTTCAATTCGCTTTCCATACTTTCATTCACTTCTCTCAGAAGCCGGCTTTCGCTTCCCTGGCGGATTTTACAAACAAGCACCTTTCTCTACGGATCACGGTCATCATCATGAAGTCTGCTTCCGTTCTCCTCCTGACCGCTGGCCTGGTGTCGGCGGTGGCCGTGCCCCCGAACCAGCTCGCCGAGCGCCAGCCGGAGCTGAAGCCGCTCCCGCACATCGCCTCGCCGGTGCGCCGGGCCGAGTGGTATGTGCGTGCGCCGCAGGCGCCGGCTGCGACCACGGCGCCGGCCCAGGAGGAGCAGCCTCCGGCTGATGACAGCGTGCCTGCCCGTGGTGGAGTTGTGGGCGGGAACAAGGATCAGAACAACCAGAACCAGAACCAGGAGCAGAACAAGGACCAGAACAACCAGAACAACCAGAACCAGGAGCAAAACAAGGACCAGAATAACAACAACCAGGAGCAGAACAAGGACCAGAACAACCAGAACAACCAGAACAACCAGAACAAGGACCAGAATAACCAGAATAACCAGAACAAGGATCAGAACAACCAGAACAAGGATCAGAACAACCAGAACAAGGACCAGAACAACCAGAACAAAGATCAAAACAACCAGAACAACAACAACAACGGCACCCTCAACCAGGGCTCCTTCCTCCCCATCATGCAGGGCCTCCTTGGGCAGATGGGCCTCGGCGGCGTCGTCAACCTCAACGTCGTGCAGAACCTCGGCCTCGCCAACCAGATCGCCCTGCTCTCGCAGGTCCAGCAGCTCAACGTCCTGCAGGGCCTCAACATCATCGGCCGGCAGCAGGTCGTGACGGTCCTCGGGCAGGGCCTGGCCCTCAACGGCGTCAACATCGGTGAGTTTCCATCCCAAGAACCCCCCCTTGAACTTCCTTATCCCCTTCCTCCCCCCCCTTCGACACAACAAGTTAGAGAGAGAGCAAGAAGTGAGCCGCGAGGCTGACTTTTCTAACAGTGGGCTAGTCGTCATAGGGAAGCGTGAGGAAGGCGAGTACAGCACTGCTGTGGAGCCGTGAGTCGCCGAAAGCTGGTGACCTGTGGTGACGTCGTTTGGGAATGGACTTTTGTGTTGCCAGAGCGGGCGGGAACAAGGACGGGATCGGGGACCTTTTTTTTTTTCGCCTTGTCAATCTAGCACAGCTCCTTATGAGATTGCAAAATTATGAAACTATGAAGACGGGAATTGGCTATATGGCAGCGCAAGTTTGTGACTACTCTCGCGTGTGTGTAACGGTAACAGTCCATGGTCACTCCCATCGACAATAATTGACTGGCAATGGCCGCGGCTTTCATGAGGAAATCCACGGCACGATATATGAGCTAGATTAATATGCAGCTGATGCAAATATTAAAGAATAGGGATGTGATGATGTGCAAAGGTTTGAAGCCACGTGCGGCCATGAGGCGTGTCGTTTGGTTCGAATCAGGGAAACCCATACGATGGACAACACCGCGCCCTAAAACACGATGCATTACATGGCAGAACGATGGAGAAACTCACTTTATCCTCAATGCATCATGATGACTCTTTTTTGCCCCCAGTTACCAAGTCATGTGAGTGTTCGCTCCGTCAGGGCGCCCAGCCGTCAGGGGCTCTCGGCGCAGGCCATCCTCAAACACGAGCCGTGTCTGATTGACGCGGCAGAAGTGCGTCACAATGCAGACGACCTCCCACACCCCTGCTAAGCTTATCGCCAGAATTTGGCGGGTGACAGCTCCCCTCCTCGATCGAAAGTCCGGATCCGTGCGCTGAGGGGGCCCTTTTCGGAAACCAGCCCTGACGAATTGGACGCCAGCGGCGCAACCCCCCAGTTCATGCCGATGGCAGTCGCAGGGCTGCGGTCGGTCTCGTCTCTAGGCCATCATCCGAAGGCATCGCAATCGGGATCCACAACCCCGGATTGGACCGACGGCGGTGAAACTTGAGACGGCCGGGTCGTCTCTCACGGCATCCGGCCATTGGGCGTGGGGTTGTGAACCCATGAGCACTTGGGGCTCTACCCTCGCCCCTTTTCGTCTCATCGAGCGCAGAGCCGGTACGCGGCTGGGGCTAGAGCCAAGAAGCCGGAGCCACATCCGTTAGACGCCATATGCCATCTGTTCGGCCACGACATCATCCGAAGTGTGGTGGCTGAGGGTTTCTTGGACGAACCGTCCGGAAGGTGCTTGCTGCCGGGAAGCGATGGCCGGGAGGCTCGTCGTCCGTGAGTAGCACCGTCTTGGCGTGTCCCTACCTCAGCCCCTTTGGGAAGCCATCGTGCTGCGTTGCGGTCCGAGCCCAGAGTGCCCCCGTGGTGTATAAAGACACTCGGCGTCGGCACCGCTGTGGCGTTCTTTTCCCCGGCCAAACACTCTAAACTCTGCTTCCGGGTTAGCAAATACATTCATTCTCATTCATTCATTCAGAGGTAAGTGCACTGATCTTGAGGGTGGCATGGACAGGCTGACACTCTCTCAAAGCTGTGCTCGCTGTTCGTTTCGTTCCTTTACTTCTCTCACCGAACACCCGAGCTGCGCTCCGTGCCGGTCCTACGCATAAACTTTACGCCTCAATAATTTGTCGTCGAAAGCCGCTTCCCTTCGGACAAGATGAAGTTCTCTACCATGTTCGCTGGCGCCTTTGCCGCCTTGGCTGTTGCTGCCCCGGCCCCGGCCCCGGCCCCCGAGACCGACTCCACGGCGCTCGAGGCGCGTCGCAAGTTCGATGCCGGCAACCTCAACAACCTCATCTTCAAGCAGCAAGACCTCAACTACTTGCTGAGCATCAACTCTCTGGACCTGGGCCTCTTCCAGACTCTCGGCGTCAACAACAACCTTGACCTGCTCATCTTCCAGGAGCTCTTCAATGTTCAAGTCTTTGACATCAACTCGTTGGTGCGATTTGCTCAGCTGCAGACGCTCCTCGCCATCTCGGGCACGGGTGTGTTCAATGCCTTTGACTTGTCGACATTGAACCTTGGCGGGCTCAACCTCGGTTTGATCGGCGGCGTGGGCGGAGTCCAGCTGGGCCAGTTTATTGATGCCGGGGTCATCCCCCAGATTGGAGCCATTGCTGGTGGCGGTATGTGTTGACCATGCCTTTTCTACCCACGTGGCCTGGAGACGAAGCGGCTGACACCGTCACAGTGAAAACGCCTATCATCCTGTAGTGAGGCTCCCCGTGCCAATATGGCTTTGACGGACAAAGAGGGCGCGATATTCATCAAGGCTGAGCGGTCGGCAAGTGTGGGACCGTCCTCTGAAGTCCTAGCTTGCACAGAGGGATGCAGTTTGATGCCTTGAGTCATTTGCAGGGAATCGGCATTGTTGCCTCTCCGAGGAGGAAGATCCAGGTAGTAACCATATGTGACGACTCCAACGTTGTCGCCAATCAAATCCTCTTTTTCTGGATTGAACGTTGCTTCAAGGCGCGTCGCGGCGACCCCGACCGACATTGCCTATCCACATGCGTGATGCCCAGACTCGCAGTCTGCCCGACGCCCAGAGGCGGCCTTGGCTGAGCCACCCCTGCCCCGGGATATTGGCCGATGGATCAGCAATATTATTGCCATTGCGAAGAACGGGAAACAGGGTGCGGCAGCCTGAGCACAAGCAAGCAAGCAAGCGGTATTTCACAAGATTGGCCGTAGAGGCAATGCCCGTGCTCTTCTGCAACGCGCACCCCGGACTCGGAAGCGGTGCCGCGCAATTCCGATCCATATTGCCAACTCGGCGACGTGTAAAATGGCATGCAAGCCCTTCCCTTGCCACCTATTATTAGCGTCATGCGACAGCGGCGCCGATGCAGACACGGATGCAGGTCATGCAGATAGCCTCATACCCCGTGGGCGAGCGTTGATGCCCTGCGGCAATGTCGATGAGCCTGCGGTGTTGCCGGCGGTGGGTGCGTGTGAGCACGAGACGCAGACGCGTGGAAATGTTGCAACTCCCACGTTGGCTAGGTTGGACAAAGGTCGCACGACTTGCCGAGCCGAAGGGAAAACCCGGACATGCCCGGTTGAGGGGGGACAGCAGGGTCGAGATGCTTCGTGATGCTACCGTCCACTGCCAACGGCGTTGCCTCGCATTTCGTATGTGGTGTAAGGCGCCCCCAGGTAGGCAGGTATGCAGGGCAGTTGGCTCCAACACGCGCCTTCTGAGTGAAGTACTTTCGTGTCTGAGAAATGGAAGGAGCTCTGTGCTGCCTGCGCTCATCTCCAATTGCACCTACCTTATCCCTTGCGAGTCGAGTCGCTGCTTCCTCAACAGCTGGAACAGGCAGCGGCTTTGGACGTCACATGATAGCACCCATGTTTGCGGCTTCTCCTCCAGTTGAAGGATTCGTACAGCACGTTCGGTACTTACGATAAGGTGCAGCACAGAAGAAAATTGAAGTTTATCCAGCGCCGAGATGCAGATACCGTGTACAACCGCACACGAAGCCCCTCCCTCCATCAATATGCCACCCGATTGAATATCACCGCTGGGCGAGCCCGTCACAAAAGCACACGCACAACCAAGTTACGAAGATTTATCGCGCCAGGGATGCGATGAGATCCGATCCTCGGGTCATACTTTGCATCTAAAATGAGATGTGACTTTGAGGCCACATTGCGAATAAGGCCTGGCAACATTGGGCTCTTGTCTCCATCGCTTGGCGAGCCTTCAAACTACCCCGTCGCCAACAGCATGAACATGGCCCGCAGCCAAGCGTGGCTGTTTGAGAAGTCATGAACAAGGACACGGCTGACGGCTGACGGCTGACCGCTGACCGTTGACCTTGGGTGGCAGGGTTTGCTGACCGTCGCTGTCCAAGCCGTCGTGGCACCACCAGCGTGCCTCCACAACAGGTCCACCCGCGTCATTCCTGCGGTTGCTATTTCTGACTCTGGATCTGGATTCCGCTGGAGGCATGGCCCGCCCGCCGGGGTTCACGGTTTTCGCCCGTGGCGGGCCCGAGACGAAGCGAGATGATTGTGCGCAATGTGGTCTGGGCGGTGAAGGGATCCATGGACGCGAATCCCGCTCCGACGGCATGCCGGCATACTGACATGAGCCAAGGTCTGCGGTTGCGGAGCTCCCGGCGTCTTTGTACGAGAACGGACGACGTACTAGCACCGAGTGCAGAAGAAGGGTCGTCAACAGGGGCTCGGTTGGGACAGGGGGGGATAATGGTATGCGCGTCGGATCCACGGCTCGCAGTGTGTGCACCTGCTCGTGCTGATACGATGGGTAGATGCGGAGAGAAAATCATTGCCCCCACTGAGCAACGCAATGCCCCCGGGCAAGGGCCAGTGCGAGGGTCGGTGCCTGCGAGTACGACGTCCGTCCCTCTACGTATACGAGATGGCCAAACCGCGGGCTCGGCGTCGCGGAAGTACGCACGGCGGAGCGGAGACCAGACGCCTGTGTGCCCGGCAGTTGGGCAGTTGGGCAGTTGGCAGTTGGCGGTTCGGCGGTTGGCAGTTGGCCCGAAAACATGACGACGAGGCCAGAGGGGCGCGCCAGCGGCGGCTGAGCAACCCTGGGTGACGTGCCGACCCTCAATTGACGGAATGACGGATGCTCGGGCGCTGCCAAGCTGCCGCAGACATAATACTATGTCCGTACTAATACGGTAGGTGGTTGTTGGCAGTGGCGTCTGGCTCTGTCCTGCGAGGAACAGACTTTCGGCTGGACTTACTATTACTCTGCAGTCCTGATGGTCGGGTTGTACACACGCATGCCGCCTCAGCCCACGGCCCAGCAGGTGCCCGGGGCCAAGCCACGGCGGACTCGATTATTGTCCACTGGCCCATGGGTTTGGCGCCGCGATGCGGCTCCCCATGAACCACGGGCTCAGCTACGGCGGGTCCCTGGGCCCAGCCTTGCCAGCACAGGCAGACAGACTCGACATGCAATTTGACGCGACAGCACTCGGCAGGACAATCGAAGCGTGCGGTGGTGTCTCGTCTCGGCCTCCCTTGTCTACGACTTTGTTGCCGCGCGTGCGATGGCGAGTTAGTCAAGACAGCCAACATGACATGTCTCGGAGAAACACTGGCATAGCGGCCACGTTGACTGGCCTTTTTCCTTCTTCTTCCCTTGCCTCCTCCAACGTGTCCGGGCCACGTACGACTCGGAGCGGCTCGACGACTGACTGCGAAACCACGGCCCTGCACCGGCTTGACAGGCAAACTGGCAACGCGAACCCCTGTTTTACTCTCGGCACCGCCTCCACCGCCTACACCACCAGCTCGGGATAGTGGAGCCGTCGGGAGCCTCGAGGGGAGGGCCATACCATGCACGGCACCCAAGGCGCTGCAACCCGGAACCCTGCGGCACCAGCGCCTCTGCTTCCCCTGAGCTGCACGGACTCTGGGCGACGAGGCACAGCAGGCCCGGCAGCACATCAGCTTTCCCCAAAAGCTCGCCTTCTCTCCACTCTCGGCCAAGAAACGGCCCCGGCTTCGTGTCGACAAGCTTGCTTCGCTCGCTAACTAACTTGCGTATCATCTCGCGCCTGTTTTACGGGGTAGAAACCCCTGGGCGCTGCCATCCCTTCTTTCGCGACCTGCCCTGCCCTTGGGTCAGCGCTTTAACTTAGCCTCGCGCACCCTTCTGCCCGTCTCAGTGGCGTCTGCGTGTTGGGCCATCTGCTCGCGTGCTCAGCTACGACCAAGTCAACCTTGCGACCGCGAGCTCACATCAGCTCGGGACTGCGTCTGACGATATTTTGGGACGCCCGCTCCCCCAGAGCTGGCCCAGGGCACCCTCTCGAAGCTGTCCGCAGACGACACTGCAGCGAAGACTCGTGCTGCCAGCCCGCCAAAACATGGTCCAAGGCCCTGACCGCCTTCGATCGAGGAACGCAAGAAGTGTTGCAGGAGAAGGCAGGCAACATGCGTCGAGATAACCGCCCGGCTGCCGTGGCCTTTGATGGCCCGGCAAGCAAGAACAAGCTCGAGCGCGCGCGCAAACACCACAGCGACGTCGACGAAGACGACGAGGTCGACACCTACTTCACCTACAGGCCCTTGTCCAACCTCCCTACGCCGCCTCCTACCTACAAGGACCCCTCGTCGGCATCCCAATCGCCGTCCTCGGGAGAGGACGACGAACATCTCATGGCCAGGTTTCGAGGTACGTGGACCACAAGAGCTGTGACGGCGTTGCTTGGCTGACAATCGGGGTTGTATTGCAGGACCCGCCATCCATCTCGTCAATCTCATCCCGTCGGCCGCCTCGCTGGCTACGGCATCCGTGCCCCTCGTTCAGGCGCTCCTCACCCGCGCGGACCTCCCCCTCGAAACCGTCGCCCTCGCCGTATGCATCCTCGACAGCCTCGACGCCAAGTTCGCGCGAGCCTGGAGGCTCTCGTGCCCGCTCGCCCCCAATACCCTGATGCCAACGTCGAAGCGCCATACCCTGCCCCCAACGCCGGCCCTCTACCAAGCTGCCCAACAGCAGATGCTGCACATCGATTCGGTGAGGCCCGAGCTCATCATCCTCGCGGCCATCGTCATCGCCGTAAAGTTTACCGAGGACCCGCAGCAGCCAACGTACTTCTACTGCTTCGAGTGGGGTAATGGTCTGTGGTCCCCCGACCAACTCAACACGACGGAGCGCTGCATCATGGAGTTTCTCCATTACAGGATCATGCCACTTTGCGACGAGGACTGCCTCGCCGATGCAATGGTTGACATGCAGCTGGCCGGCCAGCAGAGGGACTCTGAGTTCGGGAGCCTACAGCACCAACGGCCGAGGGCGGTGTCGCCAACGGCGCGGTTTGGCCCATCGCACAGCAGATCCAAGACCATGGTCCCCAGCACTCCCACGCTGGGGCTGGGCCTCTCCCTGACCCCGGCGGAGACTCCCTGAGCCGAGCATGCTGCCTCATCAATGACACCACGACGTCACGCTGGCGGTGTGGTGGCCACGATCCCGACAGCCACGCATCTTGCGCTTTATTTCTCTTTTTGGGCTTTCAGTGGCGTTTCTAGGTCCCGATTTCGGGTTTTTGTCACATTGGTACGGCGTTTCTGGGCGACTCCAAGCAGCGTCGCGAGATTTGACATGGGGCCCTTGCCGGGCTTGTTTTAGCACGTTGCCTGCGAGCCGAGGAATTGTCTCGTTGAAGCGGCCGGTGCCTCATCAACGCAGACCGGCAACGCATTGCTTGTTCTGGACAGATTTCTTTTGCAAACTGTCGACATACCCCGGAGAGTTTTGTGTTTGGCTTTTGGCATCTAAGTGGCATTGGCGTGGCACCGCTCAGGCTTGGTAATACCTCCTGGGCGTGCGCGCACCGGGAACTAAAATGGAGAACATATGGGTGGTGCGTGTTATGAGCGTCGTCACAGCGGAATTTAATCATGGTACCTGATTGATTGATTTGATTTGATTGATGATGCATCGTCTTATGAGAAGGAGTCTCTCTATAGCGTGCTGTCTAATAACGTGTCGCTGGCTGGTTGGTCGTTGATTGCCGTTGGAGCGTAGCCTGGCCTGGCAGGGTGATCATGGGCTCAGCCTCTCGAGCGTCCACTCGCCATCCTCGCCGGCCTCGCCGCCCTGGTGCTCGTAGACGAATCGGTCGTGCAGCCTGCTCTCCCTGCCCTGCCAGAACTCGACCCTCGTAGGCACGATGCGCAGCCCACCCCAAAAGTCAGGCACGGGGATGTTGTCCTTGCCATGGAAGCGGCGCTCCGCCTCGGCGACCCAGTGCTCGAGCTGGGCGCGGCCGTCATCGCCGTCCTTGCCGTTTGGCGTGAGCACCTGGCTCTGGCGCGAGGCCCACGCGCCGATGCGGCTGCCACGCACGCGCGTGTCGAAGTAGGCCTGCGACTCGTCGCGCGAGTACCTCTTGGCGACGCCCTCGACGCGCACCTGCCGCTGCAGGGCGGGCCAGTACCAGACGAGGGCGGCGTGCGGGTTGGTGGCCAGGTCGCGGGCCTTGCGCGACGTCTCGAGGTTGGAGTAGACGACGAAGCCGCCCTGGGCGTCGAGCTCCTTGAGGTAGACGACGCGCGAGGAGACGCGGCCCGAGGGCAGCTCCGCCGTGGAGAGCGTGCAGGCCTCGGGCTGGGCGATGGACGAGGTGGCCTGCGCCTCGGAGAACCAGGCGTGGAACTGCGGCGCGGGCGACGACGCGGACACGAGGTCGTGCCGCGAGAGGGTGCCGCGCGTGAACTGCGCGGCTTGGCCGTGGGCTTCGTGGCCGGCCGGGGCGACTAGATCACCGAGAGTCAGTATCCGATGCTCTCTTCCTCACTCTCTCTCTCTCTCTCTCTCTCTCTCTCTCTCTCTCTTAACAGCCCCTGCCTGAGGCGGTGGGCCAAGCAAACGATGGTGGTGGTGCCTCGTGCGACGCTAGGGTGAGGAACACAGAAACATAAAACATACAGATGAGCTTCTCCGGCGCAGACGACGAGGACGTCGTCTCGTCTTCCGCTGCCGCCGCCCCCCCGGACTGCTTCGCCTCCGCCGGCTGCTGATACAGCGCCATGCCCGCAGCAGCAGACTGGCAGCTAAAAGGCTGGACTCCTCCTGCGCCGCGCCGCGTGGAGACGACGGTAGTGAAGACGGTGGCCCGTTGTCGAGCTACCGCTGATCGTGGTGTAACGACAACGCCGCGGGGCAACAGCAAAACGTTGCACAGCCGTTGAAGACCGGCCCGTGTCATGAAACAAAGGCGGTTCGATTCGGAGCGCACGCCCTTGGTGAGTGCGTCGCAGGGGAAGAAGCGGTTTTCAACCTGCGAGTTTGCGCGTCGCTGCTATGCCCGAGGAGCGTGAGTCGCGAGTGTGTGAGTGTGAGCGGTAGTAGATGGCATGATGTAAGTTTTTGACGACGACCGACGTCGGAAATCGGATGGCATGTCACGGCGGGAGGGCGCCGCCCCCGGGATGGAAGGCGGGGCCCGCATCAGCCACAGGTAACCGCCGCCTCGTCAACGACTTTTTTTCACCCCTCGATTGCCTCACTCGCAACCGGAAGGAGGCATCGCCACCACAAAATAAGAGCAATTACGGCAAAGGCACCAAACAAAACGGTACGGTACGATTACGAATCATATATTACTATATACGCTAGCTAAACTAAATAAACACACATACATATAATACACGTACACGTACGGCACGCTAAACGTACGTATACGCAACACACGTATACGCACGCAACGAACGCCTGTACATACAAGGTACGCAACACACAACACACACAACGCCATACACGTAGCCGACGCACCCAAACAGTAACCGGTACTGAAAGATGCTGTGGCTACGAGCTTCTACGCCTCTACGATTCCAGCCATACCGGTCCCGCCACGTACAGAACTGCCATGCAAATCGAATGCCTTGAGACGACACAGTTCTAGCGTTATGAATGTAGCACTCTAATCCGTATTCGTGAATCCGCCTTTTTTGCTGTTAGGTTTCAAAAAACAAGTGACTCCGCACTCCATGGCGTCTGCCCGACACTGACATGCTTCACGAGGAAGACATGACGAGCGCAAGCAGGGCCATTCTACAGTAGAGCCCGTAACGCATCTGCACCTCGTATTAGCGCTCGTCGTTCTTCATCAAATAGGGGGATGCTTGCTTACCTGTCGGAAGTACGCCGCCCGCTGGTCAAAGTCAACCTCCTCGGCCACCTCCTCGTTCCGCGGCAGCGGGTGCAGCACCACCATCGAGCTCTTGGCATGCTTGAGCGCCGCATTGTCCACCCGGTACGAGTTCTTCACCTTCTCGTACTCCTCTACGCTCGGGAAGCGCTCCTTCTGGACCCGCGTGCAGTACAGCACGTCGCTTCGCGCAATGATCTCGGGCGTCAAGGTGTCCGACTCGCACAGCAGCTGGCCCGACGCCACCAGCTGTTGCCGCACGCTGTCGGGCAGCTTCAGTCCCTTGGGGGCCACCAGCTGAACCTGCACCTGGTAGTGCCGCAGGAGGTACACCAGGGAGTGCACGGGGCGGCCGTAAAGGAGGTCACCCAGGAAGGTGATTGTCAGGCCCTGCACGGTGCCCAGCTCTTCCCGGATGGTGAAGAGGTCCAGGAACGCCTGCGTCGGGTGCTCCTTGGCGCCGTTGCCACCGTTGATGACAGGCACGTCGCAGTACTTCTCGGCAATGTCCACAGACTTCTCCTCAGGGTGGCGGAGCACGATGGCATCGCCATAGCAGGCCAGCGTCCGGAGCGTGTCCTGCAGGCTCTCTCCCTTCTGCACAGACGAGTGCGAGGTCGAGATGGCCACAGTCCTGCCACCAAGGCGCTGCATGGCCGCGTCGAACGAGGCCGAGGTCCTGGTCGACGGCTCGTAGAAGAGCGTGCAGAGCACCTTGCCGCGGAGGAGGTTAAGCACGCCCTCACGCTGGACGCCTAGGCGCATCTCCTGAGCGACGGTGAACAGGAGATGGAGGTCTGCTCTCGTGTACTGCTTGACAGACAGCACGTGAGACTTCTTGAAAATGGAGGGCTGAGACAGCAGCTGCAAGACGGAGGCGCTGATAGACGAAGGGGCCGCCAGAGAGAGCTCATCCATGCCACGCAGAGGCGAGGCGACAGCGGCGCCGTCACGCGTGCCGGGACGCCTGGGGCTCTCGGTAGCCTGGCCGATGGAAGGAATGGTCGCCTTCATCTCGGGCGTCTTGACGGCCAGGACTTGCTTGGGCACGGCCGGCTCTTCGGTGATCTGGAAGTCTCGCTTCGAGACGTCGAGGTACACGTGGCGTGCAATGGCCTCAATCAAGATCTTGGCGTTCTTGACATTAGTGACAAGAGGGATCTGGTAGTCGACGGCCATGCGGCGAGTCTTGTAGCCCTTGCTCATGTAGTTGGCCGGGCGGCGGTACTTGTTGTTGGAGGGCAGGTTGATATACAGGTCGATCGTGTTCTTCGCGAGATGCTGCGTGAGGGAGAACTCGGAGTTCATGTCCTCGTCGCGGCCCAGAACCTCGAGATATTGCACCTGGACGCCGTGCTCCTGGAGGAAGTCGGCAGTACCGGCCGTGGCAAACAACTTGTAGCCGATGCGCTGGAGCTTCTGCACCGACGGGAGCATCTCCATCTTGTCCCTGAAGGAACCAATGGACAGAAGCACGTTGGCCTTGGGAATCTTGAAGCCGGTCGAGAGAAGAGCCTTCAGGTAGGCCTCATACTTGTCCACACCAAAGCAGGCAACCTCTCCAGTGGACGCCATCTCCACACCGAGGACAGGGTCGGCGCCAGACAGACGAGAGAAACTGAACTGAGGAACCTTGACACCGACAGTGTCAGGAGCAAGGCTGGTCGGAGGGTACTCCTGGAAGGGCTGGTGCATGATTGCCTTGGTGGCCATCTCAATCAGGTCGACGCCCATGACCTTGGAGACAAAGGGGAACGACCGGGAGGCACGGACGTTGCACTCAATGACCTTGATGTCGTTGTCCTTGGCAATGAACTGAATGTTGAAAGGACCCGTGACGTTGAGCGCAGCGCCGATCTTGCGGGTGGCTTCCTCGATGCGCTCAATGGTAGTCGGCTCCAGATCCTGCGGCGGCAGGATGAGGGTAGCATCACCAGAGTGCACACCAGCGTTCTCGACGTGCTCGGAGACGAAGTGGCCGACAACAACACCATCCTTGGCAACAGCGTCCATCTCAATCTCCTTGGCGTTCTCAATGTACTTGGAGATGACGACGGGGTGCTCACGCGAGACCTCGGCAGCCTGGGCGAGGTAGTTGACCAGGTCCTTCTCGGAGTAGACCGTGTTCATGGCAGCGCCAGACAGGACGTACGACGGGCGGACGAGCACGGGGTAGCTGACAGCCTGGCAGAACTCCCGGGCCTCCTCGAAGCTGGTAAGTTCCTTCCACGTCGGCTGGTCGACCTCGATGCGGTCCAACATGCGCGAGAACTTGTAACGGTTCTCAGCCATGTCAATCATCTCAGGCGAGGTGCCCAAGACCTTGACTCCAGCGCGGTGGAGGGGCAGGGCAATGTTGTTGGGGGTCTGGCCACCCATGGCGCCAAGGACGCCGCCAGCGGCCTCCAGTTGGTAGATGTCAAGAACCGTCTCCAGGTTGATGTTCTCAAAGTAGAGCTTGTCGGCCTCGTCGTAATCGGTACTCACGGTCTCCGGGTTGTAATTGACCATGATGGTCTTGAAGCCAGTCTTGCGCAGCGTGCGGATAGCGCGGACAGAGCACCAATCGAACTCGACGGAGGAGCCGATTCGGTACACACCAGAACCAAGGACCATGACGCCGTGGTCATTGAAGTCAACATCGTGCTCAGTGGCGTTGTAGGTGAGGTAGAGGTAGTTGGTATAGGCCGGGAACTCTGCCGCGACCGTATCGATCTGCTTGACGAAGGGCTTGATGCCGGCCTCGAGCCGCATTCTGCGAACGGCAATCTCGTTGGAGTCCCAGAACTTGGCGAGCTGACGGTCGCAGAAGCCCAGACGCTTGGCCTGCAGCATAATCTGAGGCGAGTTCGCAATGTCCTTGGTGTTATACCTGGACATGTCTTTGGCGAAGTCGCTGAGGCTCTTGAGCTTGCGAAGGAACCACTTGTCGATCTTGGTCATCTCCCAGATCTTGTCAACGCTGTAGCCCTCGTGCATGGCGTTGGCAATAGCAAACAGGCGCTGGTCAGAGGGCGTCTGGAGCTCGTCGTCAAGCTTCATGAGGGCGTTTGTCTCCCCAAAGCCGAGGTTATGGAAATCGATGGCGCGGATGGCCTTCTGAATGGCCTCCTCGAACGATCGGCCAATGCTCATGACTTCACCAACACTCTTCATGGAAGAACCCAGCTGCGTCGACACACGCGTGAACTTCTTCAGATCCCATCGCGGCATCTTCACCACGACGTAGTCGAGCGAGGGCTCGAAGCACGCGCAAGTGACCTTGGTGACCGAGTTGGAAACCTCCTTGAGAGGGATTCCAAGGCCAAGCTTGGCGGCGATAAAGGCCAGCGGATAACCAGTAGCCTTGGAGGCCAGGGCAGATGATCTCGACAATCGAGCGTTGACCTCGATGATGCAGTACTCCCGCGAGAACGGGTTGAGCGCGTACTGGATGTTGCACTCACCCACGACACCGAGATGCCGGATAACGTTGACGGCAGTCGTGCGCAGCATGTTGTAGTCCTCGTCAGAGAGGGTTTGCGACGGGGCGACGACAATCGAGTCGCCGGTGTGGATGCCAAGAGGATCAAAGTTCTCCATGTTGCACACGGTGATGCAGTTGTCCTGGGCGTCGCGGACAACCTCGTACTCAATCTCCTTCCAGCCCTTCATGCTGCGCTCAATCAGGACCTGCGGGCTCGCGGCGAAAGCCTTGTTGCAGAGATCCATGAGCTCCTCCTCGTTGTTGGCGAAGCCACTGCCCAAGCCACCGAGGGCATAGGCAGCACGGACGATGACGGGGAAGCCAATGTCCTTGACGCACGACATGGCCTCTTCGACGTTGTTGGCAGAGGCCGACTTGGCGCACTTCTCGCCGATGGACTCCATGCTTCGGGCGAAAAGCTCACGGTCCTCGGTGGTGATGATAGTGTCGATGGGAGTACCCAAGACCTTGACGCCAAGGCCCTCAAACTCATCCTTCAGCTGGATGCCGACCTGGAGGGCAGTCTGTCCACCGAAAGTGACGTAAATGGCATCGGGGCGTTCGTAGTGGATGACCTTGCGGACAAACTCTGCGTTGACCGGCAGGAAGTAGACCTTGTCGGCCAAGCCCTTGGAGGTCTGAATGGTGGCAATGTTGGGGTTGATCAGGACCGTGTAGATGCCCTCCTCCTTCAGAGCCTTGATTGCCTGGCTACCAGAGTAGTCGAATTCACCAGCCTGACCGATGCTGAGACCACCAGAGCCGAGGACGAGGACCTTCTTCACGGAGACGCGCGGGTGCAGCCTCTCGTTCTCCTCAATAGTGCCTCCAGGGAAGCTCACGGGCTGCTGCAGCGAGGCAGGGTTCTCAGCACAATCGGCGATTGTGTTGATGAAGACATCGAAGAGGAACTCGGTGTCACGGGGACCGGGCGTGCTCTCCGGGTGGAACTGCACGCTGAAGTAGGGCTTGTCGACGTGCATGATGCCCTCGTTGCTGCCGTCATTGGCGTTGACGAAGAGCTCCTTCCAGCCGGTGGGAAGAGAGCTGGCATCGACCGCGAAACCGTGGTTCTGCGACGTGATGTGGCACTTTCCAGTGACCATGCTCGTGCAGGGAATGTTGTGGCCGCGGTTACCAAACTTCATCTTGGTGGTCTTGGCGCCAGAAGCGCGGGCAAGGAGCTGATGACCCAAGCAAATACCGAAGACGGGGGTCTTGTTCTTCTCCATCGCTGCCTGAATGTTCTTGACGGTGACGTCAAGGACAGCCGGGTCACCAGGACCGTTGGAGATGAAAAGACCATCGTACTGGTCGCCAGCCTCTCTGGCCAGGTCGTGGTCCCAAGGGCAGACCATGACCTCGACGCCGCGCTTCAAGAAGCAGCGCAGCTGATTGTACTTCATACCGACGTCAACGCAAAGGACGCGGATCGGCCGGCCAGAGGGGTGCTTGCGAGTGGCCACGGAGGGGGGTGGCTTGTACAGCTTAGGAGCCTTGACAGACACTACGAATCGGTGTGAGCACACTGCCCGAAACCAATTGATTGTATGGAGACTCACCCTTGGCCACGAGGTTCTGCTCATTGGGGTTCGCCCAGTCAATCTCCTCAAAGGGTTCCAAGGAGGCGCCGGCCAGAACGTCGGGGACGACGCCATTGGGCACCGCCGCGGCGTCGGGGATGTCCTTGATCTGGAGCCTCATCTTGCCCAGCATGCTGCCCTTTTCTCGGATCTTCTTGGTGAGGGCACGGGTGTCGACGCCGTACATGGCGGGAACGCCCTGCTCCTTGAGCCAAGTGCCGAGGGACGAGGCGGCCAAGAAGTGGGAGTAGTCCTCGCCGCAGTAAGAGGCCGCGACGAGACCGGCAATGTGAATCTGGGAAGACTCGAAGTGCGCCGGCAGGTCGCCGAGCAGCTCGTCCAAGGCTTCGCGGGAGGGGACACCATAGTTTCCGACGAGGGGGAAAGTGATGACGAGGATCTGGCCGCGGTACGAGGGATCCGTCAGGGACTCAGGATAGCCGACCATGCCCGTCTGGAAGACGAGCTCGCCGGCGATGCTCTTGTTGGCACCGAAGCTGTAGCCCTGGTAGGCGGAGCCGTCCTCGAGCTCGAGGCAGATGCGTCCCTCATCCTTGGTGCTGGCCATGCGCGCCGAGGCGGGCGGCAGCGCGGTGATAGCCATTGCTGCTGTTTCTGCACCTATGGCGGGTATCAAGAGAGAGAGAAGAGGGGAGTGAGGGGTTGAAAAGCGAGGGGTTCGAGTGCCGCCTCAGATGATGGTTGAGGCTCGCGGGGCAGACGCAACGCAAGAGTGGGATGCTCTGTGCTCGTGCGCGTGCGACGGTGCTGCTAGCGACTGCTGGGCAAGAAAACTCGTTCTCAGAGCTTCCCTGGACAGGTCAAGAGCGTTACCTCGCAATCGTCTGCCGCAGCGACTTGTCAATCCGTCCAGAGCGACAAGAAGACTCGGAGGAGAGAGCGATGGTGAGGGAGGAGGAGGAGGAGGAGGGGAGGAAGGGAAAGAAAAATACGTGAGCCCGCAAGCGGCCCAGAAACTTTTTTTTTTCTCTTTCGCTGGGTCCCCCGCCTTGCCCGCCATGCCCGCCTCGGCGGTCGAGGTCCCTGGCGGTGGACGGTAGCCTGGTTGGGGTCGCCGAGATCGCGATGCTTCATTGGTCAATGGCGATGGAGCAAGGCCACCGGGCTAGTGCGCCAGGGCTTTCATAGGCTCGAGGCAGAGCCGTGGAGGGGCTCCCTCAGCGCCGTGCAGCGCGCCGACAAGCCTTGCATGGAACCGTGGAACCTTGGAAGCCACCCCGCCGCCCCGCCTGACACGCATCGGTGTGCAGTCCAGTGCAGTGCAGCGCAGTGCCGTGCCGCCCCAGTGACGGAAATCTGCGGCGCCACCGACTCAGTTCACCCAGCTGGAGCCAAGCTAGCGACAACCTGCCCCGTTCGTCTGGTCTGCCGGGCCCTGTCGCCTGCACTGTCTTCTTTGAGCTGTGTCCTGCCGGCAGCGAGCACATCGGGACAGTCGACTCGGGTATCGATTCCTCGACTTGGCTCCTCGACTTGGTTCCTCAACCTTGCTCCATCGGCCGTTGGCAGCGATGCGCGTTCTGGGCGAACCGGTTTGATTTACCCTTGCCTCGTGTCCCAGTAGCCCTCACAACCGCCGATCTCGCCACCGACAACGATCGACGGCCACTCAAGTCCTCGACGGCGCACACCTTGGATGGGCAGCCCGCTTGAGCAGAGCAACAATGATGCGTGTTGCAGACAAGCAAGCCGGAACCCCTTCTACTCGTAGCGCTTATACTCTACAGCTGATCGCAGAGGTGTTGGCGCCTTACAGTTACAGCTCATGCTTCTTGCTTCCATACACACCCTCACACACATCCCGCCATGCAGCTCGAAAATCTACATCGTTCAAGACGCCATGTGCCCTGCCGAATAAATCGTCGCATTAAAGTCTTCAATATCCACAGACGCCGTTCCTTTGGTTTCCCCGCTCTATCCTGAACAAACCCTTGCGCTCGTCTGCTAATATCACATTGCCCCTTGGTTGACGGGGGGTGCCGGCATGTTGGGCATCTGAGGAGCCTGCTGCACGGTAGGGCTTGCCTGGTTCGATGCCGTCTGCGCGCCGGCCTTCTGACCAGCGGCGGGTTTCCCGAACGTGTGCGGCTCCTTCTTCGGGTCGAAGCCAGGAAAGACGCCTTGGAGCCGCCGGTACAGCTCCTTGATGGACTTGTCCCGCTCCGCTCGGTCTGCTACAGGGTCGATGTTGGGATCGGCGCCTTCGGCTCCCATCGGCGGCGCCTTGAGCTTCAGCGTCAGATTCAGCGGCGGTGCGGTGAGGTACGCCGGGCACGGCGGCACCTTGACCTCGGGTTTTCGGTCTGCCAACGCCGCCATGTAGGAGAGGTTCGCTTGCAACCTCCGCATGCATCTGGGTGTGGCTGTCAGTTGGTCGTCTCCACGAACATGGACCGCATGAACCTACTGCACGTAGTCCTGTTGAAAGTGGCTCTCCTCTTCTGAAGGCTTCCTATCTGCAGGGTTTGCCCCAGCCGCGGCGTGCTCTTTCTTGAGCTCTGCCTGCGTCGTCTGGATTTGAATCGACTCATAGAGGAGTTCATGGTTGATATCCAGGAGCAGGGCGAAGCGCTCCTTCTCGCGGGATTCGGTAGTCGGGCTCATTGGGGTTGAGGCTGGCGCGCTCATGCCCCCGCTCTGGTTCGCAGAGAAGGTCGGCGTTTGAGGCGTGGCCATGCCGCCTGCCGGCTGTGGCGCGTTGCTCGGCGTCTGGTTCTGCGAGGGAGGCTGAGGGGTCGAGAATTGAGGCTGCTGAGGAGGCATTACGCTTCCCGGAGTACCTTGTTGGGCACTAGGAGGTCTCTGAGGCGTCGACGCCTGGCTCATCGCTGGATTGCCTTGCTGCGCCTGTGCTTGAGCCTGTGCTTGAGCCTGCGCTTGGGCTTGGGCCTGAGCCTGGGCCTGGGCCTGCATCCGTTGCATCATCTGGGCCTGTTGCTGAGGCATGCCGCCCTGGTTCATCGGGAAGCCCTGCATGCCTTGCGCCATCATGTAATTGTTTTGGGCAAAGTTCTGGGGAGGGACGCCCTGCGGCATCATTTGGCCGTAGGGGTTCCCGGGGTATTGCTGCGGGTAGCCAGGCACTGTGGGAGGTGCTGTCAGCGGTCATTCGAGAGGGACATCGACGCGATGACGATGATCATCGTTGTAGAGTAAGCTACCAAGCCGCAGTCTCGCTTTGCGATACATCCGGCGCCGTGATCAAAGTGGCTGGGACCGACTCACTCTGTCCATTGGCAGCCATGTTGGCCATGCCCGGATTCTGCATCATGCCAGCGGGCATACCCTGCATCATCTGAGGGTTTGCGGCCGGGTTGAAGCCGCCCTGGGGGCCCATGCCAGCATATTGCTGTTGCTGCTGCTGGTTGTACATCATCTGCTGCCCCGGCTGCGGCTGTTGCTGCTGCGGTTGCTGTTGCTGCTGCTGCTGCTGCTGCTGCTGTTGTTGTTGCTGCTGCTGCTGCTGCGGATTGAACGGCGCATTGCCGAAGCCATAGTTGGCGGAATACATCCTTGGCAGGAAGCCGGCCGTTGAGCGGCTGGTGGTTGATCAGACGGAGCAACGGCCGACGCGACTGTTTTCGCGGGATGACGAGTCGAAGCGCGATGTGGCGCCTCCCGGTATGTAGAACTCTGGAGCCGAGTCGGCGCAGTCGCACGGCGACTCAAAGATCTCGCTCGACCCGTCGCACCGTGAGCGCGTCACCGGCCCAGCGAGAATTGATGGCTCTATAGGGTCGGCGCGTAGTGCGGGCAAGTTCGCCGTGGTCGGAGGCTCGTCAGGGGGCTGGCAAGGGCCGCTGTGTCGTGCGTCGCGATCTGCCGATGCTCTGAGCGGAGGCGCGCGAACCCCTGCGGTGATCGCGTCGAACGGCGTGACGTTGGAGTCCTCTTGAGGAGAGGCAGATGCACGCGGGGTTTCGTCGCGCGGCGGCTGGCTCGTTGCGAAAGGATTGCGCGTGCGAGGGGCGGTGGCTGATGGAGTGCGAGCGTGAGAATGTATGCGAGAGCGGTTCGCGAAGTCGGGAAGGAAGCTGAGCCAGGAAGGTGGACAGCGGCGGACAATTTTCGGCCCTCAAGGGCTGGTCTGTCGCTACGGGTTTGGGGCGGGGCGTTTTCTCCCGCCGTTGTGTTGAACAGCAGGGGCTCTACCAATCTGGTCCCTGCGGTTGTGAAGCGCCCGAGCGCCTACAACCCACTATAACCCATGCTCATACACAACAAACGGTCATCGTCATGCCAGCTTCAGCTTCGCAGGATCGGTTCGCGCTTCACCCTGAGGAGCAAGAACTCTGAACGTGCCCTCTTAAGGCTCAAGATGCTCAAGATATGGGCCATCGTCTCTGGAGGCTCCTCTCTCGGGGCCACAACGCACCATCGCCGCTCTTCATCGAACAACATCATCCCTCCTTCGTAGAAACGGCCCAACCATCAATCACTCACACAGTGGTGCAAAGCATGAATCTTCGCGCTCGAGAAAAAGCGTTGATCTATACTAGAGACTGGAAGGGAAAGCAAGCTGTTCTCGAACGGCGATTCGTCGGGGTCAGAGCGACTGTTGAAGTGCCTAACCGAAACCCAGGACGCAGGTCAGCGGACTGAGCTCGGGCTGAGACCTTTGACACCGCTAGGGCGCAAGGAAACTCGCACCAATTTGCGTCGATGTTGAATCAATCTCTCTCGCGCATCTCCATCACTGCTCTGAGCTACACTTTGCGCTCTTGGGCAGGTCATTCTCGAAGTAGTACCAGCATTTGTTGTGGCTCCGGCCTCGCAGCGGCTTGCACTGTGATTTGGCAGTCAGCACACTGCAGAGTGTTTCTACGAGCATCGCGTTGCCGGATTCAAAGGCAAACCGCGAAACGAGACACCTACCGGATGAGCGGCAGGGCACCTGCGCTCCAGGTAGCCATCGCCGTCCTCGACCCGACAGAAGTAGTCAGGGTTGCCATTGGCGTCGCGAGACTTGGGGTAGCATAACTATTGATCGGGATTCCGTGTCAGTAATATCCGGAGTCCCAAGTCGAGAGGTTGAGCTGACCCCTTCCACAGTCTTTGTTGCAGCAAAGACTGCTGGGGCGCACAGCGCCACCAGATAGAGAGCCGAATACTTCATCTTGATGAGTGCGCTGAAAGTGTCCTTTGGGTTCGGGAGAGTGTGGTTTGCAGTTCAAAAGGTGGTCGTTGAAGAGCGGTTTCCTAGGGAAGAACCTGACATATTTATACGCCGCATCATTCTCATCGACGGCTCTGTTGCCCTGACCGGAGACGTATGGCGGCCGTTTGATGAAGTTGTTCATATTATTTACGTACGAGACAAATGTGAGTAATACTTTATCTTGGCGATAGCAATAGAGCATATGCACTCTGTGAAAAGGCCACACATCACTTACAAATAACCAGCGTGCGGCACTTCAAGATGTTGTCATGTCTCAGCAACCCATTGCCTCAGCTGAAGAACACATTCGCTCTGAAACAGAGTCAGGGGCAAAGGCTGCAGAAAGTTGAATCCTCTCGCGGGGAAATGTCGACACTCGGCCCGACTTCGATGACACTAAAAAATGCTGCACAGACCAGTAACATCACCAAAACGTACCTTGCCCATCTATCAGTATGTTTTGCAGGATAAACCTCCCCAGCTGTTGATCGGTGTTATATGTCATCGTGGATATTTGCTGCTTAGCGTCAGGTGGTTTTTTGTACTGTTCTTGGGCATTGTCAGAGACTACTTTCCCAGTCACACCTGGCTGTTGAGAGCAAGCAACGACCTGAGCGTCGACACACGTGTACCATATCTGCCGGAAATCTCCGTTCGCGATTCTCTAAAATTGTGTCTTTATCGCTTTGTTACACGACGCTGAATTATGCTGTCAAGTGGATGGTACGTGGGCGTCCTCGCCGATATCCGGTACGTAACCAGCTCACGCCCCTGAAGTATCCTCTTTACTGTACCGTGGATGAGCTATATCAGCCTGGGCGTCAATTTCAACGTTTCTGGTATAAACTTTCTACAAGTGAGTATAATTGAACACAGCGATAAGGGTTTTCTGAGCCACTGTATTATATACAAGACTCCGGAACTTGACACCAATCGTCGCCCCCATGAACCCTGGATTAGCCCTCCTCAATCTGAACGAACTTACCCGAGATGTAGCATACCTGAATAGATGAAACATTTTCCGAGTTGGCACTATCATTTTCAGCCGTCAAAGACTTTAGTATGACAATCTATGTTTGGTCAAGTATCTGGCCTGTACCCACGACGCTTCCCAAATAGTAAGAAAGTAATACACTTTTACACTGACATGCACGTACCGTTGTATTCGTCAGAGAGCAATCTGATCTTGGTTCGCAGTTCCCGTCCGAGTACATTGTAGCTTCCGTGCCGTTGCTAACGGCGAGGCGCGTACAACCATTATTGACAAAACTTTTCCTCGGGACCTTTTCGATGCGTCGTGGCGCACGCCCAGGTCCGATCATGATGATCCTGCAGAATCCCCGCGCCCACCAGGTCCTTGCATATCGGCGGCGTTTGAGACGGCGGGTTAGCCAGGAAGTTGGAAAGGGCGCCCGCAAAGTTGGATATCGTGACGCTGTGGTTCACGCCCAGACAGTACAGCTCCGGGTCTTTGACGGTCTGCACGAGACGGCTCGAGCTCTTGATATCCTCGTCGGAGAGGTGGTTCGCCGTGTCGAGGTTGCGATTCTTGCAGACGTGGATGTGGATGTGTTCCATCTTCCTCGACCGAGCCGAGTTTAGGAATAGGGCCTGATACGCCGGCTTGTACCATTCCTGTGCATAGGTCCAGCCTCGTTCGTGACTGGCACGCATCTGGAGGATGCCGGGCAGGAACTCCGTCGTGGTTATGAGAGGGTCGCTGGTGCTCTCGTAAACCCATACCGGCGCCGGGCCGGGCGTAATGGCGCCGCCGGCGCTGTTGGGGCAGCCATGTTTTACGCAGTTGCAGACGGTGCGGAAGTAAAGGCCACAACCGGTGCAGTTTGTTTCGGAATCTGTACAACCGCTTTTGCAGTCTTTGATTTGCTTTGTCTCGTAGATGGGATCGGAAGGGCAGTATGTGCAGGATTGGGAGCAACCCGTCGGGCCACTCTGACAGTCGCATCCAGACACGTCCTTGCTGGAGATGTCCTTGTTGTTGCAGAGCCTTGCAGCACCTGGCTCGATCAGACAGGCCGATAAGAGCACCAGGAGTGCCGCCGTGGCATGCATGGTGTGCGAGCGTGAGGCGGTGGAATGTCGAAAAGGGATGTAATTGTAGTTGGGGTGTGGTATAATTGCAAGCTACTAGAGATAATACACCAGCTATGACATTGCTCCGAATGGGGGATCCAGTAGAGTGCAAGTGCGCAATCAAAAGGCTTCTTTATACTTGCAAATTTGGCTACGAGTTCCAACGTCTTCCCGTTGTCTTGCCTCTGATCGTTGCCAGCGACAGTGAGTCCAGACTCCGAGGTTGGAAGGCTAGACGCCCCGTCTTCGCGACAGCGCGACAGCTGAGTATGCGACGAAACCTTAATCACCCCAGCTTCGCTTACCAGTCGCATAGTAGAAAGTAAGATCCCAGATCACCTGTTCCACGCACTGGAGATCTCAATCATCTGCCAGAGCCTCGAGTTGCGTTTTAGTTGGCTTGGTCGGCCCCACGTCGGGCAAGACGTAAACTGTCTGTGGCCGATCTAAGCGAGGTCGTGATGGTCAGACGCGGTTGCTGAATGAGCTACGAATAAGGTTGCGATCGTTGCATGTCAGTTTTCTGGAATTTCTTGAGGTGCTGAAGCTGCAGTGGCAAGATGGTTGAAGTCTGAGCCTCGATACAGGGTGATCCGGGAACATTGCGTTGGTGGACTGCATGGAACCTGTCGGACGTGTCCTCCGTGATACAAGTCTAACGGGTCTCACTTGCAACACCCCAAGAGTTTCTACAGGGTGTCCTGCAGACACCACATCGGGAATTATGGGACCTCGCTCTCATGGCGTCGCTCACAAAACCGACTTCAAATGTAGCCGCCGCTGGCGGTCCTGCCAAAGAGCGAGTCACCAATGTCCCAAAGGGACGCTGCGACGTCTTGCTTGTATTGGGGATGGGCGTGCATTCTTCGGGGTATATGTCGCCGAAAGGGGGGGCGAGATGTGTCGATGCGGAAGCCACAGGACATGGCCGCCCGGCGGCGCCGAAGCCACACACCAAAGGAAGCAGTGCTGAAGCATCGTCAACAGGACCATGCTTCGCGATCAGGTAATATGCCTCTATCTGTGCGGGGCTTTGCAGACCAAAGGGTAAGGGAGAGGCCCGGCACCTGGGCTGAGGGTCTGTCGTGTCGATGTGCACGCCCTTTGATTCAGCTTACCAACCGGGACCCTCGTAGCAATTGAATGAGCCGAATCACCGGGCAGGTATACATCTGATGCAGTAGAGAATGGATGCCACTGTGCCGGTCAGACTTGACCATCTTGCCATGGAATTGCGTTATCACCAGAGGCCGGCATCCATTATGGGTGACACAATGCGGCGCCCACCGCCGATGACCTATCACCTCCTATTACATTACCTCGTTTTACGAGTGTTATCTCAATCCGTGCCGTAAGATAGTTGCAACAAAGATACGCCCATCTACCAGAGAAGTCTTGACCGGTGTGAGTAATACACTGTTGCACCTGTGCAGCGTTCCTCCTACTTCCGCATGAGCGTCAAGCCGATGCAAGTCGCTGCGAACGGCACCACAACGTGCCGCGTCCGGGCCGGCCGGTGGGCCCTCGGGAGCAGCTCACCAGGGGGCCCTTCCCAGTGAGTCGGTGGCCGGGCGGCCGAACCAGGCCCGCCCTACAGGGCCCTTGTGTCGCGCGGGCCTCCACCTCATGCAGTGACTCCCCCCGCTCTCCGGCCTCGGCGCGGCACTCACTATCTTATCGCTCAACGACGACCTTTCAGGCGGTTTTTAGCTGGCCTGCCCCTCCATCCCGCCTCGACCTCACGCCCGCCTCACCAGACCTATCACCAAACAACTCCAGCACTCCCAACGGGGCTTTGTCGTCGTTGTTGCTTGCTGTCAATTGCGCTGTCTGAGCGCATCCCCGCCGGTTCGCCATGTCGCCCTTCAACCTCGAGACCTGCGCGCGGCCCAATATCCTGGCCCTGCAGCCGTACCGCTGCGCGAGAGAGTATGCATGCATCCTCCTGCCCCTCCATGACCTCTCTCTGCCGGCCCCTTGACTTTTGTCGTCTGTGTCTGTTCACCACTATGCATACCCGGCTCACAATTGCAAAAACAGCGACTACAAAGACGACGGCACAAACGTCCTCCTCGACGCCAACGAAAACGCCTACGGCCCCTCCCTCGCCGCAAAGGATGCCGCCGCCGCCACCTCCTCGACCTCGTCGTCCTCCGTCGCGGGCCTCGGCATCGACCCCCTCGGCCTGCACCGCTACCCGGACCCTCACCAGCACGACCTCAAGCAGCGGCTCTGCGACCTGCGCAACACGCACGCCCACACCCCCCGCGCCATCACCCCGGACAACCTCTTCGTGGGCGTCGGCAGCGACGAGGCCATCGACGCCCTGCTGCGCTGCTTCTGCGTGCCCGGGCGCGACCGCATCCTCACCTGCCCGCCCACGTACGGCATGTACTCGGTCTCGGCGCAGGTCAATGACGTTGCCATCGTGAAAGTCCCGCTGCTGCCCGCCCCGGGCTTCGCCCTCGACGTGCCCGCCGTGCTCGACGCGCTGAGCAACGAACCGCACATCAAGATCGCGTACCTCTGCTCCCCCGGCAACCCCACGGGCTCGCTGCTCGCCAAGGCCGACGTCGAGCGGATCCTCGCCCACCCGACGTGGAACGGCGTCGTCGTCCTCGACGAGGCCTACGTCGACTTCGCCCCCGAGGCCGCCTCCCTCGCCGAGCTCGTCGCCGAGCACCCCAACCTCGTCGTCATGCAGACCCTCTCCAAGGCGTTCGGCATGGCCGGCATCCGCCTCGGCGCCGCCTTCGCCAGCGCCCCCGTCGCCCGCCTGCTCAACTCCCTCAAGGCCCCCTACAACATCTCCAGCCCCACCAGCGCCCTCGCCGCCTACGCCCTCGGGCCCGACGGCCTCGCCGTCATGCGCGCCAACCGCGCCCGCATCGTCGCCCAGCGCGACCGCCTCCTGCGCGAGCTGCCCCTCATCCCCGGCGTCGGCCGCCTGCGCGGCGGCACCGAGAGCAACTTTTTGCTCTTCGAGATGCTCGACGCCGCGGGCCGGCCCGACAACGTCACTGCCCTCGCCGTGTACGAGCGCCTGGCCGAGACAAAGGGCGTCGTGGTGCGCTTCCGCGGCAAGGAGCACGGCTGCACCGGCTGCTTGCGGATAACGGTCGGCACCGAGGACGAGGTGACGCGGCTGCTCGAGTCGCTGCGGAAGCAGCTGGCCGAGGTAAGGGGCGATGGGCTGGCCGTTGACGGAACGGCGGACGAGGAGAAAAAGGAGCAAGAGGCAAACAGCGTTGTGGCATAGACCCATGCACGTCGATACAATAGAGGTAAAAATTTGGGTACAATCGAGGCCATTTACACTCATCCCTTTGATCGAGAGTCATGGATACAAGGGGCATTCACTCACGTCTCAGATCGAATATGGACAATTACATGTGAATGATCTAAAGACGGCTTTCAACCTTTTGTTCTGTTCTAGTGACCGTTTCCCGTTCCCAACGCCCGTTCCTCGCGTGTTTGTCTCTCGTGTCTGTACTTTCTAACGAGATATTTACAGAGATATGTATCCAATGAAAATGGACGACTCCTTCCCGCCCTGTATCCAGAGCAAAACGAGCGGTGATTATGCCATGATCCAGGCCGTGGCCGTCATGGCAAGGCCGAAAAGAGCGAGTGAGAGTGTCTCGCCGCTGCGGAGAAGCCGGCCGGCGGCATCAGACCTCTTGGTCGGCGAAGAGACGCCACGACGCGATGTCCTTATAGTAACAGGGGCGTCGCGCTTGCTTGTCTTGGCCGTGTCGGGCTTGTAGGTGTTAATGGGCGTCCACTTGGCGTCGCGAACGTGCTTGATTTCGTTGCCGCGGAGGGGTGCCTCAGCTTCGTGGATGAGCAAGCCCTGGATCGCCTCGAGCGCGCACATCTGCGGACCCAGACCCGCCTTGTTGTCGAACGAGCCCGTGAACCACTTCATTCCACACTCATGTCCGGTCTTGCCGCCGGTGCAGACGGATGCGGCAGCCTTGACAGACGGCAGCATGTAGTCTTCAATCTTGTTGCGCAGCGAGGGCAGCATGACCGACGTCTGCCACAGGAAGCGCGACAGGTAGCCCTTGAAGGTGATCATGTCGTAGTTGCACTTGTCGTTGGTCTCGCAGGCTGCTTCATACATGACATTCTTGGCGTTGCCGTCGCTTTGAAAGAACCATCCGGCGCCGTCAATGAGCTTGCTGGTGCGGTCAACCCATTCCTTCTTGCCCGTGTAGTTGGCCATGACTGCAGCACCGTAGATGTACACGCCGCTCGTGTAGGTGAAGGCCGCCTTGTTGACCTGCTTGCACGAGGTCTTGATGTCGACGCCGTCGTAAATGTGGTAGCTGGTAGGGTCGATGATGCCCACCTCGGCAGACCAATCCCAAGCCCTCTGTGCCCAGTCGAGATATGTTTGGTTGCCAGTCGCTCGGGCCAGTCGCGCAGCCAGCTGGAACAGGCCGCCGTTGCTGATGGAGTTCTTGTACGTCATGCCGTTGGGGTTGTCGGCGTAGATCTGCCACCGCAGTCCGCCATTGCAGTTGCCGGTATCCCAGCGGCTGACGAGAGAGTTGAAAACGTTGGATGCAATATCGAGCCACGCGGGGGCGTTTGCGTTGGGCTGCGGGAAGTTGCGCTCCGCGGCGGACATGACGGCAGAGCCCCAGAAGAAGAGATCGTCGTTGCCCTCCTCCTTGGCGTGTTCCTTGGGCACATAGTCGAAGGTCGGGGCAAGGTTGGTGGGATGCAGCAGGGCCTGCAGCACAACGTCGTTGTAGCTGGGGTCCTTGGTGTAGTGATAGTAGTCCAGCATTGCGCCCCAGAGAGCGCCACCCACCCACCAGTAGTATGGCTCAGGGACATCTCCGATGTCCTGGTGCATCGTCAGCACAGTTCTTTGGATATGGAGGAGAGTGAGAGAACCTACGACGGAGTTGGGATCGGTGGTCAGGTTGCCCTTGTAGTAGGCCATGGCATCGTGGGCTACAGTCGCCGCAACGTTGCGAATAGAACCTGCGTGTATTGTCAGCATAGGACGATTCGACCGCAGGATCGTGTCTGTGTGACTGTCACATACTCGGGCTGTCGACCTTGAGGTCTTTGGGCGCGATGATACCGCTCATGGCCGCCAGGACCGGGGCGCCGCTCTTGACGAACTTCATAATGCCGGTGAGTTGAGGTATGGATGACCAAAGGTACAAGAGTCGAGGTAAATTGTGTTGAGGATCGAGGCGAGGCTGCCCGGCAGCGGATGTTGTGATGATAAGAATCGAAGGGCACCGCCTCTGTGGGTTGCAAACGAAGGCAACGAACCCGGCGTCGACGACGATGCCAAAGAGAACAAGAGAACAAAACGGTAGAAGTATTGGGGCAGAACAGTGCCAAGCCTGCTGTCGCAAGCAACAACCTTAAAGGGCGGCGATGGTGTGATGTCTCTATCAACGCGGTGGAGAATAGTATAGGCAGGCGACTCCCGTAGGATTTCGTATCACGGTACGCGATAGGACGAGACAATAAAAGGGCGCAGGCGGCACAAAGAGCAGTGACGAGACTGCAAGTCGAGAACGAGCCGGGGCGGGAGCCGTGGGCAAGTAGTCAAGGGACGAAGAGAGAGTGAAAAGGCAGAGCCGTGAATACGAGAGCCAGCTGCGCCTCGGCTGCAAAGGAAGGAAACAATAGACTCTTCAAACAAGGAGGGGATGAAGGAAACAGCCCAGGCTATATCGGGACGAACAAGAAAGTTGCAGATCGAAGAGGAGGGGAAACTCTGCTTGGGGGCCGGCGCTCGAGAGACGTTTATGTACAGTGTGTGGGCTCCGGGATGGATAGGAGGCAGGTGGATGGATCGAGACCAGGGTCTCTCACCTCTCCCCAAGCTCCACGAGTCGAGCCAATGCAGGATGGTGCCAAAGGCAAGGCCGCCGGAGCATAAGCCAGGGGGCGGTATTATTCCAGGAGCTTGCCAATTATGGCAGTGCACCAGGCTCGCCGTCCATGCCCTGGCTCGACGGCAGTGGCACGGCGGCAGAGCCTTGGGAAGGCTCAGGGGCCGCCATGGCCACTCGAGAGATCATCGCTGGCGGACCAGGACCCCGGCCGACCTTCCCGACGGGAGCTTGGTTGGATCTCGCGGGCCCTGCGCTATATTCCAGGGGCGCCGTGGGCGAGCGAAACAAAGCAGACCCGCCTGTTTCGCCTTTGCGCGCGCCAACGGGGCCCGACAAGCTGGACACGGCGTGGCGGGTCTGTTGGCGGCGGTGTGCCGCAAGGCCACTTGCAGTTGTGTCACCCGCCCGCCGTGACTTGTACGCTCGAGTACATTATCGCACATCATCGAGAGGCTTTCGGGTGGGACGAGGAATACGCGTAAGCCGCGGCGGCTGTCTGTGTGGCCTGTGGCCTGACATAAGGTGTCGAGATCGAGTGCTGAGCATTCGTTCCTCGCAGTCGGTCCCGTGGAGGCTTCCCTCGGAGGCTTTCCTGGCCAGCCATCCCGCCTGCTCGACAGGGGCAGTTGCCTGTTCCTCGCCAGCGGGCTGGAGACTCAGATGATCAGTGGTCCCGGCGAACGCCAACGCAGCCGCCACAAAGGCGGGGATTGGCTCGCAGTGGTCGAGGGCCGCGAACAAAAGATGAAACATGAAACGGGCCAGGGGCCTTTTTGGGTTGGGAGGCGCAGGGCGGAGTGCTGGCAGGTTGGCAATGGCAAGGTTGCGCAGCGCCGCTGCGGGCAATCGAGGCGGAGGGAGGGTGGGGGCACATTGGGGCCAGGAGCTTTACCTTTCTTGGCTCGTATGGCACCGCCCGCCATTGTGTCAATTGGACTGGACAGTGGAGGCGCATTGGGTGCCTTGCACCTGCCACGCTTCCTTCGCGGCCGCGCCCACTTGCCAGCTGTCTTCGAGGTTGATGCCTGCTCCTTCCGCAGAGCATTCGGGCTGACTGCGTTCCGGGGAGGAGGGGGAAGGCCCGAACGGTTCGTCGGCAGGAACCAGCCGAAACACGTGAAATCTCTCCCGTCTCTTTCGCACAGTATGAAGTTCAGCTGTGCCGAGGACTCGAATATCGCATGGCCCCCCATTCATGACCTCGCCAGGACAAGCAGTTCCACACCTCCAGTTCTGGCCATGTGCTGCTCTCCCATTCCGATATCAGCTCTGTTACCGAGTCTGCCCAATGCAACCTAGCATCGTCTTGTGTTTGGTCACCGAACCCAGCCGCGCCCCGTCGTACCACGCACGAGGACCATATCATCTCGCAGCTCCCCACAGCTCGTAACACGGCCCGTCCAGATCCGCGCGAAACACTGCCAGGACAATGAACGGCACTCAGCTGTAACGCCGTCCGTACGTGCACCCGGATCTTATTTTTGCAACTCTCGTTCTTGCGCCCGCCTCGGAACCTGCCGGAGACGGACATGGCGCAAAACACAGGCCGACGTGCATGACAGTCTCCCCTGGATGTGGCTTACACACGGCCGCCCCAATCGCATCAAGGCGCACATGCATGGCTGACCACCAGGTGCATACATATACGTGCGAGGTTGACGCTCTGAACCGCGATGGATCTTGTCCAACCGCCGCCGCCCCCAAAGACTCACCGTAATGAGCGGGTTGCGGGCAAAGGACTCAGCTGGACTGCGTGCGGCGCACCGACCAACGAGATTGAGTCTATTCTTATCCTCTACAACAACCTTAAGCGACTTTGACGTCGTTTCGCCGGCAGCACTGTCCATTGTCCGAACCCCTCCCCCACCATCACTCCGTCAAAAGCGCCCGACGATGTGCACCAGTTCATGTTGAGTATCGACGTCGAAACTTGGGTTTCACAGATTGGTTTCCGCCTTACCAGCACCCGCTCGTGTCACTGCGGCCGCAGGCTTGCATGCCCTTTCAACTATGTCGTCTCCTCACAACATTTCAGACTACGAGCAGCAACCAGGTCCGTGATGCGCCTGGGTCAATCGGATCACGGTGTGTTTCTCAACGGAATTGTGTGATATCCCGAAGTTGGGGCTTTTGGCCGATCTGAAACTCCGTGTACAACCCGAATCCAAGTCCTAAGACCAACGCCTGTGCAACGCTCCTTCAAGCGAATTCAGAATCCAACGCAACGCTATGCTCCAGCTCTCGAGGCCGCTAGACTTGGGCCACCCGGCAACGCTGGAGATAAGAATCCGACGGCGACGAGGCCGACTCCATCACCATCACGCCAGCCTTTCATGGCCCATTATTTCAACTCTCCTCTTCTCCCAGGGGTATATCCAACTTTGGTCCGCCGACCCACACCTTTCACAGTCGACCATCTGACACGCGCTCCTAAGCTAGGACAGCCGCTACAAGCAAGGCGGCAGCCGCGACCACGGTCAACATGCGATTATCAACTGTTTCTCTTCCGCCCGAGCTTGTACTTGTGATATTCGGGCCGTAGAGTACCGACGAGGCCACGGTAGGTGCCGTGATGTCGGTCGGTGTGACGTCGAGGCTGTTGTCCGTCGTCGTTGGCTTGTCGGTCAGCGTCAGTACGCCCCACTGAACGTGAGTGCCGGACAGCGTCGAAGTCCACGACACCTCAGTAGGGCCGGTATGATGGCCGTTGGTGTAGCCCGATGCGTAGCTCGAGTAGCCCGAGCAGGTGGCGGCTGTCGTTCCGTTCATATTGCACGCGAGGTCGGCAATGCTAAGAGACGTCAGCACCTCGTCGCCCCAAGCGCGGTGCAGCGGATGGAGCACATACTAGGTGGATGTCAAGGTTCCGTGGAACTTGAGCGTGCTTTGTCCCTCGACGATGATGAATGGAAACTCTAGAGAGATGTCGCATGCGGCAGGCGTCTCGGTCGGGCAAAATATTGTGTATGTGGTCTCGCTGGCCGTCTGATTCTGCACTTGATCGTCAGTCTCCGCAGCGCATGGCGGCGAGGGTCAGGGATCGGCATGGGCGCACCGTGGAAAGGACGCTCCCCCGGAAAAGCGACCATGACTGGCTGGGATAGTCCGGGATGAAGACGGGGGCGGTAGTAATGGTTGGTGTCGGGGCCGTCTGGCTGGCAGCGCGGCACGGGGTGCAGTCAAGAAGCAGCAGAAGCAGGCAGGCGGCCAGCGACGATCGGAGGCCGGGCATGGCCACGATGGTGGTGGTGGTGGTGGGCTGACGTCGGCGTCGGTGTCGGCGTCGGTCAGCGGGCGGTCGCGCAGACGGATCGAGGGGTCGGAAGCGGTCGGCGCGACGGTCGAGGTCAGGGACGGCGGTCCATGAGGCGTGCGCGGCGAGCGAGAAGAGGTCGGGGAGGAGGGCGAGGAAGAGGAGCGGCGATGGACGGCAAGAAATGCGAATGCGCCGTGGGACGAGAGGTCTTGGTCGAGCGTCTGGGCGGGCAAGTCGTCTTGGGGAGGCGGGCGAAATGAGATTAGTGCCGACGCCGCTGTACGCCGCCGCTCTTGGCGTGAGCCTGACAGCGCTCGAGGCCCGGCAGACCACCGCGGCCGCTGGCTGGCAGTGGAGGCCTTGGTTGCCTGTGAGTGCTGCAGGCAGGGTCCTGACGCCCGCAGACTGGCACTGCAGGGTGTTACTTCCTTGGCCCTACCTAACTGACCTTGCGATTCCAGGGCGATTCCAGGGTTCTTCACGGTAAGGTAGGTGATGCCACTCATGGCGACAACAATCTGAGCGCCGCGCAGGCTGATGCCGTCCTTGCCGCCCGCGCAAGCCGACGTGCCCACGCCGTGCCTCGTTGGCATCCACGGATATCTTGGCCCTTTCCCCAGGTGGACCTTTTTTCATTCGTATCGCGACGACGTACGAGGGACGTACGCCTTACGTGTGCGCATGCGGGTAGGGGCACGTGTAGCCTGCGCCAAGACGCGGCGCAAAATGGCCCCAAAGCCGCCCTCGGCGACAGACCCAGACAGCGAAAGACAGCGCAAGCAGAGAGGGGGTCATTTGAGGACGGGGACCTCTAGCGGGCGAAATTGGGGGTGACCCGCGCAACCGCAGCGGCACGCCAAGGCCGGTCCCAAGCAAAATCCAGCGCCGCCGTCACGTCCGAGGTCACGGCGACTCAAGACGGCGCTCCAGAACCGGCGGCGCCAAGACCGCGCCCCAAGACGCCGGCAGGGCGCCAAGACCTCGTTGCTTTCGCGCGCGCCCGGTAGGAGCGGCGTTGGCACATTGTCAAGTCAAAGCTTTGGGGTTGCTCTGCGCTGCACTGCGCTGCGCGCCATCGGAGAGGGTGCGTGCGTGCGCGATGCGCCGCAGGTCGAGGACGGACGCTCGGCTCCTCTCGGGCAGCTCCTCACGGGCACGGCAGTGGGTTGGTAGGTAGGTTTTGCAACTCCAAAATACGGTTTCTTGGCGAAGGCGATTTTGACGACGTCGCACCATTTCGCGCCCATCTCACGCCGTGCCTTGGAATCGACTCTGCATTCTTTATACGTACTGCAACGGGCCGTGTCTACTCGGTGTACTCCGTAATTACTCCGTCTTGAGCTGTTCTCCGTATTTGCCGCCAATCCGGCACGAGCCGAACGTCAGCCCGCGACGACTGGAGGGAGGTTGGTTAGTGTTCCGTACAGACGGCAAAGTAGAACATGTAATAAGCTGCTGAGCTTTCGGTGCCTCTACATAGTCTCAATCTTTGTCCGCCAAGCGGTCCCCCCCACGGTCGCTCTATTATGTACCTTTTTGCACACGCGTCAACCAGCCGACGTGCTCGTACGAGTTCGAGACCATACTTTGGTACAGACTAACGTTACGTATTTGGGAAATGCCCAGCCCGTTTTGCGGGCTGGCGACGGGGTTGGCGGCAGTGCAGTGCGCTTGAGGAATTGGCTCAGGGGCTAAGGGAAAACTGCCGGCATGGCGCGCTCCTGCGCCTGATGCCGTGGACGAGATGTGTCAATGCAGCTCGAGACAAAAAATGCTCTCACGGGCGGCCGCCGCGGCAGCGGTCCCTTTTCATATACCAAGTCCAGACGCCCCCATTGACTCGGCTCGTCTCGACTCATGATGCCCTTCTGCTGCTCCGTATGTCCCACGACATGTCGTCATTTAGCCGGCAGTCCTCGAGTCGCTAAGATGAAGCCTTCATGCAAGCCAGCCCCCATGGTCGGGTATCTTTTTCTGCTGCTAGACTCGATTGGGGCGGTGGCCCCCCTTGCCGACCGCCCAGGAGCTTTGGCTGCAAGGGTCGTCCCAGCCCTATCGACGTCCGTCCAGGTCCAGGGGCAAAGTCGTCTCCAGTGATCGAGATGATGGCGGCGGCGGGCGGTGGTCGTGGCGGTGGCTCTCTTTTCTGTCGCTCCCCCGACGGCACGGCGTCTTGAGTGCCACCGCTGCCACCGCGGGACGACTATGCGGGCATCAATGAGGCGGCGTTGGATGCAGTCGCGGGTTGTTCTTCGTCGCGCCTAAAGTCGCCGCCACTCCCGTGGGATACAGACGCGCCCCTCAGCATCGCCAACACTCTGCGGCAATCTCGTGTCGACAGTGCAGACTAATGTTAGCCTAGCACCACCGGAACTTGGGTCGTCGCCGCCAGGATGAGGTGAGCAGCCCCCTCCGTCCGTCCGTAGCGGTAGCGGTAGCGCGTCCGGGAAGGGGGGCTCCAGATGAAGGAGCTTCTTCTTGGCGTCGCAGTACTAGCAGCGAATCCTCCTGGTGGCGAGGTTTTTATAGTCTTCTCTCAGCCGCGCTGCTGCACACATGCTCCATCGGCCTTGCTCCTCTCGTTGATCGTCGTCTCTGCTTACCAGTCGCTCGCTCACTCGCTCGCTCGTTTATCCCGCCTGCACATCGCACGTTGCACGCTTTCGCTCGTTTTATCTATCTCAAGTCGCCAAGCAAGTCTCCTCGATCAAAAAATATGGCCCGTTCGCTCGCCGCCCTGCTCGCAGCCGCCGTCGCCGGCGCTGCCGGTGTTGCCGCCGCCGACGGCTCCACGACGACGATCCCCGTCCTGCTGCCCATGTTCGACAAGCAGAAGCTCGTCGGCTCGGTGGTCGACGCCGACTCCACGCTCACCACCTTCGCCGTCGCGTGCGCTCCTGGCGTCAAGGCCGACGAGTGTGGCTTTCCCGGCACGTTTACCGTCCTCCAGGGGCCGTCGACCTGGTCCCTGAGCCTGGGCGTGTCGATGGGGGATGACACCGATGTGACGGTCGCGTATGTGCCAACCCAACCCGCCCGCCAGTCTCCATGCATGCATGGCTCTGTATCATCTCGCGAACCTCCGTGTGCCTAGGTAGCTAACCTCGCGCAGAACCCAGGACTCCAACTGCAAGTTCGACGCCGCCAAGGACGTGGCCACGTGCGTCGGCTCCCTCACCGAGAGGGTCAGCAACAGCGACATGCACACCACCGTGAGCGAGGTCATCACGGGCTACAAGACGCTCATGATCCCCGTCACCGTGACGGCCGGCGTCGACAAGCTCTCCGCCGCGCCCGGGGCCACGCAGACGGGCTCGCAGGCCACGCCGACGGGCACCGCCGCCAGCACCATGTCCACTGCCGCGTCCGCCACGGCGTCCGGCTCCGGCTCCAAGACCGGGTCCAGCGCCTCGGCGACGGGCTCGCCTTCTTCGACGACCAACGCGGCCGGGCCGATGGTGACGCAGAATGCGGTCCTGGCGGGTGTCGCGGCGGTGGTGGGCGGTGCCATGATGCTGTAAAAGGGGAGGAGGAGGAGTGAACACCGGCGGGCACGACAACAAGAGGCCAATGTCGGGTTGAGGCTTAATTTACACAGCTGCAACTGCAACGCGTGCGGGAGGTGGCTTTTTTTTGCATACCAAGTATGGAGTTTGGAAACACGGCAACAGACATTGTAATACCACATCACTGAATGGACCCAAGGACAAAGGGCGGTTGTGAAGCGAGTATTAGCGGCCGCCCCGGCTCGCCTCCGTGATGAGGCTCGTCGAGATGGGCATGTCGCACACAAAAGTATGACCGATTCACGACATGGCCCGCCAGACCATAAAAACGGCCGGCAGCCTGCGCGGCCTCGACGACGACTTTTTGTCCACGCCAACACCACAATCTTCTGAACCGTACATATCTCTCTCTCTCGCGCGGTAGCGGGCAATCTATTTGTGGACGAGCCCACGTGGTGCTCTACACGCGAGACCTGTCTTACAAGAACCCCAAGACCTCGAAGCAGCAGCAACTCAACTCTCCGTACTTTGTAGAGAAATTTCCGTTTTCCCGCAGCTGCAGCAGACCGTAGACTTTCGCAACCACAAGCAGAACCAGAGGCAAGGAAGAGGCGCTATACAGTCCTGTCACCAAGCAAGCATGGACGCCATCCTCAACGCGGGCAACATCCTGGTAGGCGTGTCGGCGTCGGTCCTGGTGTACGGCGTGCTCCTGCTGCACGCGCTGCCGTCTCGGCGCGGCGCCTTCGTGGCGACGGACGAGTGGATTCGAAGCGCGGCGGTGAGGGCGGACGCGAGCCACTGGGACAGGCTGGCGATGGCGGAGATGTGCTGCTGATGCGCGGCGGTGTTGGCTGTATCGGCGTGTCTGGCGATGGTGATGAGAGGCGGCGGGCTGGGTCGGCAATGATGGATGCGTCGAGCGGTTGCGGACTGCTGAGCTTTGATGTGGTTCTATGCTAAAGGGCTGTATGCAAGATGTTGGGGCCGGTATATATTTCGTGATGATACATCGGCGTCTCTGAGGCCATTGAATATATCGACCCAACATGTCATGGCTGCGTCACTTGTCGTATAGATGGGGTGAGTGTTAGTTAGGTGGCCTGGCGATCCTCCCGCCCGTCTTGCCAGCTCGTGCAGTTGATGCATCGCAGACACTGTGCGTGGGTCAGCGCTTCTCGACCCTGTCTTGCCAAGTGACTTGAGATCTGTGGTGAAAGGACACACAGCGTTTACTGACCTTTTCGTTTATGCGCTTGCGGCAGTACTTGCACTTCTTGGTGTACTTGATGATGGGGTCGTTGGACACGAGGGTGTAGATGTGGGCGAGGCCGTAGAGCGAGAAGCCGACCATGATGAAGGAGACGACCTGGTAGATGAAGGACCTGTTGGGAGTTTCACACTTTGAGCGTCTTCTCTTTCTTTCTTCCTCTCTCACACATGCATACACACACTCTCTCTCTCACATACACACTCCCCACTTCCTCGACCACCTTCCACACAGCAATGCATGCAATCGTGACCGGACCTTGGTAAGTACGTACCCGTACGCCATGACGACGGCGCCGTCCTCCTGCGCCTGGAACAGCGTGTTATACCCGACCGTGGCATTGTACCCGCTGCCGTACCGCAGCACGGCGAACTTTTGCTCAATGTTCTTGTTGACGGGGAAGATGACGGAGAGCGGGGGCATGAGGATGGCGCTGACAAAGGACTTGACGAGGTCGGTGAATATATTGGCGAGGCTTTACATTCGAGTCGCGCGCGTGGCATGTGGTCAGCATTCGCCCGTCTCGTGCTCGCTCGAGGCTTGCCCAGACATGGGAAGAGGGGGACAAAGACTCATGCCAGTTCGGAGTGCTGCCGCCCGGGGAGGGGCTGGGTCAAGAAACGCACATCAAGCCAAAGGCAATTTGCAGGATGTTGCCCTGAAAGGCAAAGTCGACGAAGCCATCGAAGAAGCGCTTCACGCGGCGCTGGCCGCGGCCGAGCAGCGACTCGGTCTCGCTGGACGAGCTGTTGCTGTTTTCGAGGTCGGCGGGCATCTCGTCGTTGTCGTCGTCGTCTTCGGCGGCGGCGGCGGGGGAGCAGAACGCTGCGAGACGCTGGACGCTCAATCTAAAGGAAACGCTGAGGCATGAAAAGGGAAATTCGAACAGGTGAATAAAGATGTTTGTTGCCCTGCGCCTCCATATGTTGGTGACGGGAGGGGGGCTGGCGCGTTCGTTATCAGTTGCCCAGACGCTGGATGACGCAAATGGCGGCGGCAGCGGACGTGGGGTTTGGTAGATCCTGGGGGGCAGATCCCTGGACTTTAGTGGTCGTTGGGGTTTGAACTGGTGAGGCGACCCCTGTGGGTGTGGTGGGCTGCATTTTTTGACCGCCTCATCAGCTGCTCAAGCGAGGCCGTTGCGGCTTGGGCTGGAATGGGTTCCAGGCTTGGCGGCGCACCAGCCGCTCCACCGCAGCATCAGACAGGTTCGTGTAAGCGAGAGCGGTGCCATCTACATATGCAGATTGAGTGGCATGGGCCTTTGCACATTCGGCGGCAGCGCAGTGAGGAAATAGTTTTAAATTATTAGGTAGGCTGCGTTGGAGCATTCCAGATGTCCAGTTGCAGGTCAGGTTTCTAGATGGAGTAGAGAGCATGTGCACAGGCAAGCACCAAGACTCTAGAGGTATCATCAGGTGCAACGCAGCGCAAACACGCCAAACGACAACAACAAACAGCATGCCCAACTCCAAAAGCAGTGTCGCTCTAACAACAATCCGCTCGAAACATGCCACGACGAGTCTCTCGGGGGGTCATACCGCCGGCCATCACTCCACCGCCTTTTCGCTCCGCATCGCCTCGGCCTTCTTCTTGCGCCGCAGGGCCATGAACTGCGCCAGCCAGAACACGGCGACGCCCAGCATGAAGCCCGTCGAGATCCACGTCAGGATGTAGAACTTGATGCCGCGCTCGGCGGAGAGGCCGATGCGGGCGCCCTTGTCGTTGATCTCGCGCACGCCCTTGCTGCCCGCGACGGAGACGATGATGCTCCCGATGAGGCACGACAGGCCGCCCAGCGCGCCGAGGACGAGGTTGGCGAGCACGACGGGCGGCCGGCCCGGCAGCAGGAAGGCCGCCGCGTTGGTGAACATGGCGAGCCCGCTGAAGCCCATGGCCAGCGCGTAGAGGACGAAGAGCCCCAGCAGCGCGTCGTTGAGCACGTCAAGCTTGTCCTGCACGCTGTCGGGCCAGTTGATGTCGGCGAGGTTGAGCTTGAGCGGGCCGACGCTGAGCCCGTGGTCGAGCATGCCGGTGAGGTTGAGGCGGTCTACGTGTGGTCAGCACGGGGTCAAACACTATTCTCTCCATGCAGAGCGAAGGGGGGTCGACTTGAACTTACGGGCAGGAGACGCGCTGGTGCAGTTGGTCACCGTGAGGGACACATCCTCGGCCGTGGGACCGGGCGAGTAGCTGCCCTCGCACGAGTCCATGATGTGCAGCGAGTACCACTCCGAGATGCCCAGCTTGTCGGCCAGCTTATCGGCGGCGTTGCCCGTAATATTGTTGATCTTGTCCTTGGCGGAGTCCTTCTTATCGTCGAACCAGCCCTTGACGCCGCCAAGGATGCCGTCGTTGCTATCGCCACCATCGTTGGGCTTGTCCGACTTGCTGAGGATGTTGTGCCCGACCATGGACGTGTTTAACTGTGGACCAGTCGGTTAGCTGGCACATCACGCTTCTCGAGGCATTTGCATGAAATCATACCCTGACGACGGCATAGTCCTCCATGAAACCCTTCTTCTGGCCGGCAAAGAGGGTCAGGGAGGTCAGCACGAAGCTCACGAGTGCGAGCACCAGCGGCGCAAGCACGAGAAACCTTGCAACCTGCTGCATGGTGGGGTGGTTGCGCTGCGTCTCTGGAGACTTGTTCCTAGGTTCGAGGGGAAAAAAAGAAAAATTGCAAATCTTCTTGTATGTGTGTAAAGGTCCTTGAGGAGAGGGGGAGAGAGTGAGAGAGGGAGAGAGACGTTGTTGTAGAGATGCGCGGCACCGGGGGCGATCGTCACCGCGTTTGGGCACCAAGTAGGTGACGCTGCTTGCCGAACAATGGCGAGAGAGAAAAAAGAGAGAGAGGCAAACAGACGAGGCGAGACAAACGAAGGGCCCTTTGGGCAATGATTCACAAGAGGCACACTTTTTGTATTTGTACATAAATAGACCATTGTCAGTCGACCCGACCCGACCACCCCCGTTTTTGCGTCGTCCCCCGTGGGCTGCTGCTCGTCGCCCGCCGCCACGAGCCAAGATGCAGCGGCGGCCAGCCGAGCACTGGAATGGGGACGTCATCGAGGGTATTCGGTTGCTGCCAACGCAGCAGCAACAAGGAAAACCCCTGTCGCCGGACCTGCAGCGGGTCTGTCAGGGGGCGTGCAGCATGCATCGCATCGCATCGCTTGTTTGAGGAGCCGCTGCGTGCTGTTGGGGAGACGCGATGAAAAGAGGACGACGAGGTGTTGAAAGGTGGTGGTGGTTGATTGTTCGGCGGTTGGGCGGGCGGCTGCGTGACGGGGCCGGCGGCGATTCGCTGGAGGGCCCACTATGCCAGCACCGGGGTGAGACACTGGAGGGCGGGCGGTGCCTGACTGGACGGGAGGCAACAGTGGACGTCGCGGGCGGTGGTGGGGTGCTGACCTTTTAGGTTGAGAGCCCCTGGACGGTACGGTACCTACCCCGGGCGCGCCCGCGGTGGGGCCGTTTTACAGTGGGCGGCCGCCAGCCACTCGCTGGGCCAACGGCGGGCTTGGCTGGGACAATGGACGGCCCCCGGGGGGGGGGGGCCCAAGGGGGGGCCTGGGGAGGAAGCATTCCAGCGCAATCGCCGGGGGCGCGGCGCCCGAAGCGGAGCCCGGCGCAGTTCGAGACCTTGAGCGCAGCGGTGGAAGAGGTTCAGTTGGGTGCCGCGCCACCTGGCTGCTTGTGGCGCCAACAGTTCTTGGGTTCCCGGAAGCCTCCATTTGGTAAATCTTGTCGGGAGTCGAGGTGCCTGCCTGCCTCCCCAGGCGGACTCCCCAATCTTTTTGTCTCACGTCACTTGCGAGATTGTCACGATGCTGCATGCACTCCACTCATAAACCCCCGCGGATTGCTGTTACCCATGGTGCTTGCCCGCCGGTGGCTGAAGAAAGCCAAGCCAAGCTTACACCAAACAGCCAACCCAACTGAGCTGTTGTTTGTCCGTCACCGAAGCACATCCATCCGTGAGGAAACTTCTTTCACTCAACAAGGTCATCCTCCTATCATCTATAATCCAATGTTGTCTCATGTCAACCCTCATGATAGGCAATCCTACCACAGAAGTGGTCATACGCTACGTCCAATGTTACGCGCAAGCGGTTTTCTTGTCGTACAGTCTCAAAAAGGCTACCCGTCTCACCAGGATGGATGGATGTGACGCATTGTGCCTTGACGGGTCCTTGATGAACATGTCGTACCAGTACTATCCTGTGATCCAACACTTTCTAAGCAACTTTCTCACTTGACCCCTCACGTATGCTCTTGACTGATTCGCGAAAACGGCTGAAGCCTCCTATGCTGACCACGAAACTGCAGGGCTTGGATCCGGGACTCTTGTCTGGGCTCGTCTGCCAGTGCCGGGGCGCATCCCGCACGGCACGTAACACCCACAGAAGAAAAAAGCTAGGGAGGCGAAAAAAAGACAAAGTACAAAAAGGAGAGCCATGCGCAGGAGCAGTCGTTCTGTGTTACCAACCTGCAGTGTTACTTCTGCAACGGTCCCGACTCCGCGCCGATACCTATGCGGTGTGAGCAAG